CCAGGGGACGCACCTAAGTTTATCTCAACTTTGGCCCCTCATTATGCAAGTTTCGGTCTTTTTTCCCGCTCTTGGACAATCGCTATATATAAATTTGACCCATTCTTGCAACCTGTAGGGGAGTGTAGGGTAATTTGACGAGTAGGGTAATGTGACGAACTCGTCGAATCTCATATATGACGTCACGACAAAAATTCCAAATAAATGTAGTCGTCTCCCCTTATCGTGTCGACAATGTATTTACAGTAATATTTATAAGAAGTCCCGTAATTTGTTCGTGAGGTAATTTTCGCTAAAAATGTGGTGCGCAAAGTAGCAAACCCATTCAATTTACTTGTGTTTCAGCAGTGCCAGAGCAAAGATGAGTGAAAAATAAAATCAGGCAAATATATGCACGCATACATGAGATCTTTATCAACAGTTTTTGGTACCTCGCGTTTTTTTCTTTTGCGCCGTTTGAGAGTGACACCGTTTTTGCTCCAAGTCTACCTTGTAGGGTATCGTGACGAACTTTTTGTAGGGTATTGTGACGAACTTTTTTTATTCAAGAATTTTAACTGTTATCGTAGATTATTTGTAAAAAAAATATAATAATACCAGATAACATTTACTGCAGCAGTTTTATTGTTGTTTTTAATAGTGACGTCAGTATAATTTAATTTAAAAAAAAATTTGCACTTTGACCATTTTTTTTTATAAGTTTGGGTATTATCTTATTACTTTTAACTTTTCCGTATCGAAAATAACCTTTCCGTAAATAATATATAAAAAAATGTATTTTTTTGTTTGTAAAAAGGATGGTTTACACCAAACGCTGTGGGATTTGGCTACGTTGAAATTTCGAATCCAAATTTGTTTAGAAATATGCTCAGTAAATGTAAGCAACTTTCTGCTTTTACACTTTTAAAAAATATTGATTTTTGGAGAAGTTACATTAAAGAACAAATCGTTCGTCACATTACCCTACAACTTTTGAAAGTGCAAAAAAAGTAGGGTTCACGCCAAACGCTGTGGGATTTAGCTGCATTGGAATTTCGAATTTCGAATTTTACAGGGATATGCTCAGTAGATGTAAGCAACTTTCTGCGTTTACACTTCTGAAAAATATTGATTTTTACAAAAGTTACATTCATAAAACGAATCGTTCGTCACCTTACCCTACACTCCCCTACGCATTGGCAATAGTGGTTTATTATATTTTATTATTGTAGCTGCAAGAGCCAACTTTGGGTAAACAAGAAAAAGTGGCAAAAAATTTAATCAACATGACTTTGTCGGTGTTGTTTATTTTCGGTGCGGAACAGTTCACTTGGCGCCTACACAATCTCACGGCTTTTCGCAACGGAATGCAGATAAAAACCAGGACGTGGGAGGTGAAACCATGCTTCGTATTCGAAGGCAGCAGCTGTGTCCTTCTGAGTTTAATTAATGTCAGTGTGAACTAAATGAACTAAATTCACATGGTAGCAACTATTTTTTCCTTAAAGGGGTATTTTTAGAAAGGCTATGGGAGTTTTTTAAAACTTTTCTGTTAATATAGAATGTATTATATTTTAAAAAATTTAGCCAAGTGGTTTATTTTCTTAAATAAATTTACATTAAAATATTATATTTTGCTGTATATGAGTGCCGAAATTCCCAAGGTATCAGCTAAATGCCAACCAATTTAATTTCATTAGTTATAAACATTTTTGGGCACAAAAAACTAACCACATTGCTGGCCCAGTACAACGGGGCGTATGATTAACGCCCAAAAGCCACAAAGTAGGCAGCACAAAAACCACAAAATGTCAGCCAGCAGCCACGGCAGCAAAGTCTCATCAAATATGTTGATAAAACACAAAAGATTACAGCCGAAGCAGAGGCAGGGTCAGGGCGAAAAGGGTCCTAGGCCAGGACGAAGGCATCTAATGTGTTTGTCAAAACGTTTTAATGCCCTTTCCAGGGGCTGGGGTCCCATAAAGCCAGCTAGATAGCCCCGGCACAGTAACCTTTTTTCTTTTGGGGTGGTAATAGTTGAAGGGAGGGGAGGTTGAGCGTTCGGGACCGACTGACCAGCCACAGATGACCTTTTTCGCACAGCGAAATAAAAATTGTTAAATAAAAGGCAAATAAAATTTGTGTGTCACACAAATAAGAGGGAAAAAGAGCCTCGTCAATGTCTCGACATGAGCAAAAAACAACCTGTTGTGCATGTGTGTGTGTATGTAAGGGGGATGGGGGAGGGGGGTGTTTGGGTATGGTATATGGGTATGCGTGTGCGAAAGTCTGTGTTTTTTTGGGGCGTTAAATGTATTAGTTGGGCTATGCCCTAAAGGCTATTTAAACGTCGTCAATGTGTTTTTCACGCTTCGGTTCAGAAGCGTTTGGGGGAAAAATTACACTACCCAACATAAAAGAGAATAAAATGGCAGAATTAGGTAATATTTAAGGATACTCACATATTTAAATTCCAATTTTATCTCACACTTTTATATACTTTTAATTAATATTTAATTTTAATGTTGTAATAATACAAATTAAAATTCCCATTTAATTATAATAATTAAACAATTAGGTTGATTATATATTTCTTCAATCTATGACAAATTTTTTAAAATAATTTTCCAAAATATTAGTTGTGTGATGTCGAGTGTATTTGGATGAACCTCTCGATGGGCCATTTATCAGGCCCTTGATGCTCAACAATGTGTTAATGGGATTGCTTATTATGTGTCAATCAAGCGTATTACTCCAACCAATTTAAGATGCCGAAAATATTCGTTCTGTCATGCACCATTTATTGGTTGACACATTGTTTTTTAAAGCCTGCTAAAGTGAGATCTGCCCACTATGCCCAGGCCCACAAACAAACGTCATATTCGGACGTAAATAGCATCATTATCTAGGAGATATCGCACAACTCATTCGTCATTCGTCAAAAGCCAACAAGAAGGCATCCCCGGAGAACGATGATAAATCACTTTCAATTTTGACAAACGTCCCAAATGTCGCGCAGTCTAGAGGCACATTTCATCGGCCAAACACCCACTTGCAAACGCAAACGCAGACAGATACCGAATTTCCATACCGAGTGGTCGGACTCCTCCGCCGGGCAATTGGCCAACGCTTTTCCGCCCAACAAATCACTCTCCGGCGGACGTTTCCGAGATATCATTGGCCAAAACGAGAGAAAGGCTGAAAGGGGGAAAGCGAAAGTCAATTCGATTAAGGCTTGGACAGACATCGGAAAAGATGGATGGCTGGGAACTGGGCGAATGGTAAATCATAAAAAGAAAGGCGGGGTATTTATGCTATAAAGTGGGAATAAGTAGATTTTCTAAATTTTAAATTCGTCTTATATTAAGAAGAAATCTATGTTTACAAATATTAAAAGGTGGGCAGTGTATAAATGCGGGTTCTGGAATAGTTCTGATTTTTGATTTCTGGTAAATATATATTTTTTATAACTAATATTAAATGTTCATTAAAGAGACCCTCCTTTTTTATCTTTCAAAGTGAATTTAAAATAGCCAAAAAAAATCCCTTTCTTTCAGACTTCAAATTAATATTTATGATGCCCTTTTTTAGGAGTGGTTCCATGATCTACTTATTAGCCATCATGGCGGCGTTATTTCGTGAAACGTGCCTCTTGTCTTAACTACAATTCAATTTCCGGTTCGCCTTGCTGACATCACGTATACGCAGGCTATCACGTATACGACAAGTTGCATCGCCAGCCATCCACAGTCAGCTCCTAACAAAATATTTCGCCAGCACTTAACGCCCCAGGCAATCCCCCTATTTGCCGATGCTGTTGCAAAGGCTTAACTTTCAACTTCCGCCTGCAACGACAGGAGAAAAAAAAGCCAAAAGAAAAGCTGCAATTTCAACCCCGTTTTGGGGGAAAGTGCCTCTTCCTGTTGAGAGACTGCTGTGCATAATATTGCATACTCATTTCAGGCCATTGTTCCGACACTTCTCGACATAAGGACTTCACTCTGGGAGTTTCTTTCTTCTGCCTTTGGTGTACTGCCCCCAAGGTAAGACATCTATCAGCATCCTGAATGGATTCCTCAAGACTCAACCCTCCAGTTGCAACTCCTCCATTCCCCTTTTAACCCCTGGCTGTGCTGCGTTTTTTCTTATAAATAATTCAATTGCCATTTTCCTGGCCTTATTTTTTTTTTGCTGTAAAATGAACATATGACGCCTGCAACGAATTACAATGAACGGAGAACCCCACATTTCATATGAAATGCATGAGAGGCCCTTTGCCTTGTCTAGCACTCGTCTATGCTGAGGACAAAGCTAAAATTGCAGTTGTATTGATTATTTTTAAATTTTTAATACGGGAAAATCCTATGCCCTCGGCCATTAGGCAAGCCATTAACCCGTGACATCATTTGGTAAAATATATAAATTTCTATAAAAACGCTGGCAACTAATGGTGGCATTGGCGCAGCTGTTGGTTTTTTCAGGTATCTAACCTTTAACAATTTGCGACAAAAAAATGCATTGAAAAAGTTCGAATACGCGACCTCATTCAAGTGCAGTCATGAATAATTTTCGTTCATAAATTGCTCTGCAGTGGACAAAATATGTATTTCACTGGGAAAATATAAGTAAAGCCGCTTTCGATTTCAATGTGGAAAGAGAAAGGGATTTACAAAAGATTTTGATTTTAACTACAGTAGTGCGAAACAGGAACTTTGATTTTCCATCTCAAGACCAAGTACTTATATACTTGACTAAAGAAAAGCCTTTTGTGCCACAAATGAAAATGGAAATTAATCCTTTGCTATTCCCTAAAAGCTGAGGTCAAGATTTTAGCATTTAAGATGAATTTTGAAAATCGAAAAAGAATTATTTTTCTGTTTTAAAATGTCTTGGGAAAATAAAATTGGATTTTTTCTAAATACCAAGTAAATGTAAAATTTTTCTCTTATTTATTTCTTTAATGACAGCTTTCTTTCCCTTATAATATAATAATACCTATATTTTTGCATTTTCTTTTACAGTTTCTCATCAACGCAAGTAAAAATGTTTCATTTGAAGCGCCAACTGAGTCAAGGCTGTGCCCTGGCCCTCATCTGCTTGGTGACTCTCCAGATGCAGCAGTCCACCCAGGCGGAGGTGTCGCCAGTTCAAGGTAACCATCCGGTGCAGTCGTCCTCCCAGGAGCAATCCTCTAAAGACTCTTTTGCAGGCACTCCCCTGAGCAATCTATATGATAATCTGCTGCAGCGCGAGTACGCCGGCCCAGTGGTCTTTCCCAATCATCAGGTGGAACGCAAGGCCCAGCGTTCGCCCTCGTTGCGTTTGCGATTCGGACGCAGTGATCCGGACATGCTGAACAATATTGTGGAGAAGCGTTGGTTCGGCGACGTCAACCAGAAGCCCATCAGGTCGCCCTCCCTGCGCCTGCGATTCGGCAGGCGGGATCCCAATTTGCCCCAGATGCGACGGACCGCCTATGATGACCTCCTGGAGCGGGAGCTCACCCTCAACAGCCAGCAACAGCAGCAGCAGCAGTTGGGTTCCGAGGGGGATGCCGATCTGGGTGCCGATTACGATGGTCTCTACGAGCGGGTGGTGCGAAAGCCACAGCGTCTTCGCTGGGGACGCAGTGTGCCCCAGTTCGACACGAACAATGCGGACAATGAACAGGTAATTTATATATCCATACAAAATATTTTCAAATATTTGATTTAAAATTTAAACTATATTTTTGGGGCAACACTAACAAGTTGTTAATAACTAAGAAACTCAAAACGTTAACTTAAAATGTAATTGGGAATTAAAATCTAGGAAAACTAAAGAGTCCAAGGGTAATTTATTTTTAAAGGGAAAAATATTTTAGCTAACTGCCACAATATTGACAATTTAAAATATTTTTACAAATTTATTTTAAAAAATTTATTTTTTCTTTATGATTAGATAAAAAAAGAAATAGTGCCAGTCAATTGTTAGGATTTTTTGTAGCTTTTCATAACTTATATTTCCCAAATGTAATCTTTGTAGTTTTTCTTAACCTCTACTTAAGCCGTACTTATTTTCCAAGTAGAATATTCGTAGTTTTTCCTAACCCCTACCTCACCTATTTTCCAGATGGAACGCTCGCAGTGGTACAACTCGGTGTTAAACTCGGAAAAAATGCGCCGCATGCTTATGGCCCTGCAGCAGTACGAATCGCCGGAAAACGTGGCCAGTTATGCCAACGAAGAGGATACCGATGCTGATCTGAATAACGATACATCCGAGTTCCAGCGAGAGGTGCGTAAGCCCATGCGTTTGCGATGGGGACGAAGCACCGGAAAGGCTCCCTCCGAACAGAAGGTACGATTCAAAAATAATACCATAAAAGTATACCCTCTGATATCAAAACTTTTTCCGGAAAATGTAGCACACTCCAGAGGAAACTTCATCGGTCCCACCCAAGACACAGAACTAAATTATTGATAAACAGCCATGTGAGGGAACCGCAGGAGAATGGCAAACAATTAAATGAAATCGGAAGCAAGCTACACGGTCAATATCCAAAGCCAAATAAGATACAGAAAACATATAAAACCCAAGTCAGACAAAGTTTTTGAATGCATTTTTGAGATCGCAGGGAGGCATGGGCTAAGAAATACATACTAATGAACATATATCTTATATATATTATTAACCATTTACGTGTAACTTTTGATTTTGAGCTAACGTACTAACTATTAAAATAAACAAAAACTTATAAAACTATTTGTTCAGTAAACTTTAACAATGCGCAGGTAAAACAAGGTAAACAACAAATTTGACTTAGAGTTAGTTGAAGTGTGTACTTTTTTTACAATTTCTTGTTGAGTTGTATTTAATAAAATACTTTAAAATGTTTTATATTACTTTAAAGGTTTTATGTATGTATCACCAGCCACCCATCAAAATAGTAAAGCCTCCTTATTCCTTAGATGCTCAATTAAAGAACTTTTAAATTATTCGATTGCCCAAAAACTTTTAGACTCAATGTATATAAAGAAATTATGGAACTTTTAAAAATTAGTGCAAATTTGTTATAATAACGCTAAAAATCTATACAAAAAAATATTATTATTCTATGAATGAAACCAATTCTTGTTTTCTAAACTTGTAAGCGAATTTCGATTTAATGTTACGATGGAAGTGTTTGAAAAACATAGAGGCCCCCGGAAGCTGTATTACTGTAACACTTGTTATATTATGTGTGCTACAAATTATAAATATATGTATATCAACTATTATATTATACGACTATATATATATATAAATATACGATGAACATTGTCTATTGAAATTTTATTGATGTATTTTAATAAAAGGAGAAATCAATTATCAAACAAGCAGGCATAAAGCTGAACATTGTTAGAACACTTTTGTATATTTAATTTACACCATCATTGAAATTATTGTTTACCAAACAAAAATATGATAAAGAAAGTACACTTTGTGGTAAAATCATATCCAGCTGAAAGCCATTTTTCGTTGAAAATTGGGCAAAACCTTTTCCCGCGATATATATCAGTATATACGCATATATACCTTTTAATGAATGTAATATCATGAATGTAAATACAAGAGCAGGAATAAATTAAAGCAAACATATTTTACTCGATCTATGCTACAAATAAATAACTCAGATGGAGTAAAAACTTATAATATTCTTTTCATTCGTTTTTTGGTGGAAAAATATATATATTTCGATAATATAGCTTTCATAAGTATAATAAGTTCCTATTACAAATATAATTATTTGTTTAATTAAAGTGTTTGTATCTTTTTTTTAATTTTCAAACTTTTTGAAATTACAGTAAAAAAGTTTTTCTAAACGTTTTCCTGCATAAAGCTCAACGAATCACTAAAACTGCCAGCAATTATCAACTTGGGAACCCACGGCGTCTGCATTCTGTTGCCCATAATGGGATTAAGCAACAAATGTGAGAAAATTAAACCGAAACCAAACAAGAAACAAAAACTCTGATGAGCATGGCAGCTGGGAATGGGCAGGAGAATCACCATGGCCAAAGACAAACAATCCGCCAGGAGCCAAGGACATTTGGCCTCCCACCTGTTGTGTGATGACAGCCATGGCCATTAACTCCATCACCACGTCCTCCACCATCCGCCCTTTTCCACCTGGTTTCCACTCATTGTTGATGTTTGTTTTGATAATTAACTTTTCAACTCCTAATGTACCGGAATGTGTGTTGCCTGAAATTGTTCTACTCCCTACATGAAACATATTATTTCGGTTAATTGCATGCAGCATTGAAAATTCAACACGAAAATGCACTTTACGAGGATGCGAGGATATTTTTCTGGGTGGCAAACGGGTTAGCTTAATATGTTTAATTTCCGCTGTAAAAAGTCGGTATTTTTAAAATGCATGCTCTCAAATTATTTAACAACAGCTGCGGGTAGTAAAGTTAAATTTAAAATGTGAATTTTCATTTTCTGAAAAATACAAAACAGGGGAAACTTTCACAGAAACATATTTGCGAAAATGTTAAGTAAGTTTTAAATTATTTACGATATGATTTCAGCAAAAAATGGAATACGTTCTTTTTTGGAAAATGAATTGGTTAAGTTGGTAAGATTTATTTATACATTTTAATGAACTATTTGTAATTTAAAACATAACGATTTATTTATTTAATGAGGTATTTATCTGAATTCAAACATCGAATTTAAAAGGAAAGGATAACATTTGAGTTGAAAACTTTGATTTCTGAGTAATTCGCTAATGCTAAAAGTTTTGTAAAAACGTTTTCAGATGATCCCTGTTGCCGGTGTTGTTCTTCTATTCTCCCATATGTACAGAGTGTAATCAGTATGACGCCCAACGTTACTTAGTACTCTGCAAATATTTATGCAAATAATATGCAATTACACACACACGCAAGCGGCGCCTAAAAGCGCTCTGTAAACACCGAACTTTTCCAACAAACACAAACACACCCGCAGCCAACACTCACACACACATGTGTCCCACATATACAGATGCAAAGGAAAATCCTCTTCAGGGGGCGACAAAAACCACTTGCAACTAAAAACACCAGGAAAACGCCTTGCGATTTCCATTCTCATTTCGCCCCATTTTACACTGTTACTAAAAGGAAACAAATGAAAACAAATCTTAAAAAAATTTAAATGAAATTTATCAATTACTGGTGTCAAATTCTATTGAAGTCGTCTGATAAACGAATTTTTTAGAACAAATTATTCATGAATTAGGGAAGGTTTCTTATACACATCAATATGAATTCTGCACGAATTTAGTGCTAATCTGCTTCTGCGACACTGTTGATTAATTAGTTTCAATTTCTTTCAGTGTACAACGATATGCGTATGCAAATGAATGAACAACAGAAACGAAAAACAATGCGAACTACTTCTTCTTTTCTGTCTGAGCCGCCATCACAACATAAACAGGCAAAACTAATGCGAAAGTTTTTAAGAATATTTAGAACTGGGCATATTTTTTTTTAAGCTATACCTTAACTATAAACCTGTAAAAGTATTTGCTAAAAATCACCCACTATGTACGTTTCTATCGGGTTTTTACTAAGCGAGTCAGGTTTCTATTTTTGTTTTTTGACTTATTAACCATAAATATTTATTACCAATAAAGGAAAACTTATATGACCCACTAAAAATGATGTAAAGTATTCAATCCTTGATTTGACGGATTTGAAAGCCCTCTAAACCTTCTTCTTGAATAAGACGCAGCTTGGAATCGTTGGCCAGCTGCAGAACGGCAAGTAAAGCAACCGACGGGGACACCGATTCCGCCATTTTGGGGGTCAGATGGTTGGGCAACTCTTTGTAAAGCTCCTGGAAACTGGCGACCCCCTTGGAATATTGTTCATTCTGTTTATTAGGATGCGAGGGAATTGCCTCCTCAGAGACATCGTTTAAAAGTTGTTTCTGAATCAGAGTGTCGCAGGATTTTTTCAAATTTTTCATGTCTATGACCTTGGCTTTCTTTGCGAAGGGAATAACCACTTTGGGAAACTAAGGATAAACGATATGAAATAATTCAGGACATATGTAAATTCGTAGCTTAGATGCTCACCTGCAAAGGAGCACCATCGAACTCTGTGCCAATCTCGGAAATTGTGCTGACATTCAGACTTATATTGTCAACTTCCACATCCATCACATCAGCCAATCCTTCACTATCCATCGCCTCAAAAATGCTCACGTTGGCGGGATCGGCATAGGCATCATAATCTATTTCACCATCCATCTCTATCGCAAGATTTCCGTTCTCATCCGAATCAGGCTCTCCCGCGCACTTTGAAATCTTAATGCCTGGGGCCGAAACGTATTTGAAGAAAATGTCCGGGTCTAGATTGTATTTTGTCGGCAATATCAGTTTCCTGGGGTCCCACTTCCTTTGAAAATTCACCTGCCGCCGCCTTGTAGTTGAATCCTTCTCTTGAAAGAGAGCTTCGGTCACATTTCCATAAGAAATGGTCTTGGCTACAGGGTTGGGTTTTAGAGGTCGTCGGTTCTTGGGCCGTTGACTGCAACCGGGCTGCGAAAATGTGATTTGTGGCCCCGTTCGCTTAAACTTCCAGTGTGAAGGTCCTGCCCAAAACTGGGAGATCTGCTCCATCGGCCTGTAGGAGTACTCCAGCTTGGAGTTTCCATCTACTGGTCGGAGGTCCTCGATAAACTCCGTTGGCCGACGACAATTTATGAGCATCCCTTGCTCTTCGGGAGTGAACTCTTCCACCTCATTGGCATCCAACTCCAGAAGCACAGGAGGAGGTCCATCCAAATCCGGCATGGGCTCACACTCGGCGTTGATATCAAAGGCCATTGAAATATCATTTAAACAGATTTCGTCGGCATCATCCAGCCCCTCATCATGCGGATCCTCATCCTGCAGGGGCTCTGCGGGATTTGGATCACTAGTGATGATGTAGCCCGTGTGCAGGGGACGTAGATTTGATCGTTCAGCGTGGGGAAGCAGCTTGCGCATGAAGGCGGTGCTAATCAACGATTCAGCTGGCCACTGTTCCATGTCAGCGGTGAGCGTAGTGTGATCCTGAACCTCCTCAGTGGCCTCCTCGCTGTCCCAGAACTTGTAGGTGGTGCGCAGGCGCAGCTCAGAGTCCAAACTGGGCAGAATATTGTGCATGAGGCGATTTGAGGCGTTGATGGAGCCCACTGTGGAGTTGAGTTTCCCGAAGACGGGATCCTGCAGGGGAGCTGTGTCCAGGCGGGCATTCAGCGTGTCCTTGTTCTTGGTCACCGTGGACATGGGCTTCTTCTGCCTTTTGGGCTTGGGAGCTGCTTCCTTTTGGGTCTGCTGAGCGGGATCCTGCCCCTCACCAGCCGCCTGCTCAGCCTGGGGACCATCATCATCCTCCGCGGCGTTCAGTTGCTTATCCGTGAGAGTGCGGGCACTTAGGCCAGCGGAAATGCGCATGGCGTCCAGGTAGATGGAGTCCACCCGCAGGCCATAAACCTTGGAGGAGGCCTCCAGCGAGGAGCCCGCCATCTGAAGGAGAATTAAGGGATGTAAGTTCGGTTTTTAGATGCTTAGCTAAGGCAAACTCACCTTGAAGTTGCTCATCCGCTTGTGGTGGTTTTCCATCAGATTGGACAGCGTATCGATGAGCGGCACTTTCCAGGCATTTTCCTTGCTCAGCTTGTTGCCCTTGTAGATCTCCATACAGTTCCGGATCGTATCGTTGGATTCGATAGACTTCTGCGGGGTCAGCATGGGGGACATGCACGCCTGGTCTCTGCGCGGCGAAGTCATCACTCCGATAAGGGGGATGTCACGAAAATCAGAAACTCACAGACAAGAAAAAAATTGATTGTCCACTTGTGTGTTTTTAATTTGTTACTTTTCAACTATATAGCTGTAGAAAAATTGTTTATTTAAATTTATCTTGTTATGTTTTCGCTATATTTATCTGGATTTTTATTATATTTTTACCACTAAACTTATATGAATGTTCCACTCACGACAGTCACAAAATTCAACACTAACTTTTTAAAATTACACAACTCTAAAAAGATCTGACAGTTCGTTAAAGCCTCCTAGGACCACATTCAACCAATATACTTTACAAAGTTGACCCCGTTCGTGATTGTAAAATATATCAGTAGGTATATAATATAAATCATCTTATCTGATAAATGTACTATAGGATGACAGCGATTTGTGATAAAAGGTTAAGGTTAATTTGTATAAAAATGGGATATTTTAAATTTTAAAAATAAATATTTTCAGAAAAGCGCTGTAAAACTTTCTGTTGGAAAAAATAGGCCATTTTATAATTCGGATTAAGCGAACTGTCTTAATTGAATGGGATATCATTAAACTAATTTCTTAGTTCAACAAGTTATTTTTAAAAATTAGAAGTTTGTTTCTAAAAAAGCCTTTTCTTAATCTAAAATAAATCCCTTCAGTCCATTTAAAATTAGTACAAAAATGTTACGTAAATCATTGAGAGACTCTGGTATTTTACTTTTGTAGCTTATCATTTATTAAATAACTTATAAAATTAGAGCCGTGATTTGTTCATACTAAAAATCCAATTCGACTGGAGTAGGGGAAATTCTTTGGGAATACTGACACGAGTTACGTTTACTGAGTGGGATTAAGTGAGGAAGTTAGGATACGAGATTAAGGAATCGACACAAAGGAAAGTGTAAGAGGGTTGGGGGAAACTACAATTAATTGAACTTAAGAATATAAGAGTTTAATCCAGGACTTGACGTATTTGAAAGTCTTCCAAATTTTCTTGGGGAATAAGGCGCAGTTTCAAATCGTTGGCCAAATGCAGAACCGCGTAGAAAGCCACCGACGGCGACAGAGAATCTGACATTTTGGTGGTCAAAAGGTTGGGCAATTTATGATACACCTCCTGAAAACTAGCCACACCCTTTGAATAATGTTCACTCTTTTTCGTGGGGTGCGAAGGTATCGTCTCCTCGGGAGCGGCATTCAGAAGTTGCTTTTGAATCAGGGAATTGCACGACTTTTTCAGATTTTTCATGTCTATCACCTTTGCTCGCTTCGCAAATGGAACAACCACTTTGGCAACCTAATAAAGGATATTATAAGGATCAGTATATAAACTAAAGATCAATCATTTGAATGACTTACCTGCGACGGAGCTCCTTCGAACTCAGTGCCAATCTCGAAGACTGTGTTATTGCAGGTGGCATTCATCTGGCTGAGACCCATCACGCCCGCATCCTCATTTATTAGGCCCTCTGCTCCTTTCTCGGCGGCAATGGCCGCAATAACGCTAACGTTGGCGGGCACAGCATCGGTGAAATGTTCGTTATTAAATAGATCCTGGTCATTGTCATCATCGTGATGATTGTCCGCCTCCATGTCGATGGCCAGATCCTCGCCCTCATCCGAATCCGGCTCTCCAACGCGCTTGGACAACTTAATGCCCGGTGCTGAATCGTATTTGAAGAACATGTCCGGATCCAAGTTGAACTTTGTGGGCAACACCAGTTTCCGGGGGTCCCACTTCTTTTGGAAATTCACCCGGCGCTGCCGAATGCTGGTATCCAGCTGTTGGAAGAAGTTCTCCGTCACGTTGCCATAAGCCACCGCCTTGGCTCGGCGGTTGGCGGTCAGGAGAGCCGACTTCTTGGGCCGCTGGCTGCGAACGGGCTGCGTATCCGCCGGGCCATTGGTCTGCGAAAATGTCGTTCGCGGCCGCGTGCGCTTGAACTTCCAGTGCGAGGGTCCGGCCCAAAACTGGGAGATCTGCTCCATCGGACGGTAGGAATACTCCAGCTTGGAGTTTCCATCCACTGGTCGCAGGTCCTCGAGGAACTCCGTCTGCTTGCGCAGCCGACGACAATTCTTGAGCACCATTTGCTCCTCGGTGGTGAGCTCTTCCAGCTCATTGGAGTCCACTTCTAGAACCAACGGGGGAGGTCCATCCAAGTCCGGCATGGGTTCGCACTCGGCGTTGATGTCGAAGGCCATGGAAATCTCATTCACACACATATCGTCCGCATTGTCCACCCCCTCGTCATGCTGATCCTCATCCTGCATGGGCTCGGCGGGCTTGTCGTTGGACGCCTTGGGATTGGGAGCACTTGTGATGATGTAGCCCGTGTGCAGCGGACGCAGATTCGATCGTTCAGCGTGGGGAAGCAGCTTGCGCATGAAGTTTGTGCTTATCAGCGATTCAGCCGGCCACTGTTCCATGTCAGCGGAGAGGGTGGTATGATCCTGAACCTCCTCAGTGGCCTCCTCGCTGTCCCAGAACTTGTAGGTGGTGCGCAGGCGCAGCTCGGAGTCCAAACTGGGCAGAATGTTGTGCATGAGGCGATTTGAGGCGTTGATGGAGCCCACTGTGGAGTTCAGTTTCCCGAAGACGGGATCCTGCAGGGGAGCTGTATCCAGACGGGCATTCAGCGTGTCCTTGTTCTTGGTCACCGTGGACATGGGCTTCTTCTGCCTTTTGGGCTTGGGTGCGGCCTCCTTTTGGGTCTGTTGAGCGGTTTCCTGCCCCTCACCAGCCGCCTGCTCAGCCTGGGGACCATCATCATCCTCGGCGGCGTTCAGTTGCTTATCCGTGAGAGTGCGGGCACTTAGGCCAGCGGAAATGCGCATGGCGTCCAGGTAGATGGAGTCCACCCGCAGGCCATAAACCTTGGAGGAGGCCTCCAGAGAGGAGCCCGCCATCTGAAGGAGAATTAAGGGATGTAAGTTCGGTTTTTAGAGGCTTAGCTAAGATAAACTCACCTTGAAGTTGCTCATGCGCTTGTGGTGATGCTCCAGCAGATTGGCCAGCGAATCGATGAGGGTGAGATTCCAGGCGTTGTCCTTGCTCAGCTTGTTGCCATTGTAGATCTCCAGGCAGTTCCTGATCGTCTCGTTGTCCTCGATGGACTCCAGGGTGCTCTGGCGGTGCTGCTGCTGCAGGAGAGTGCGGCGACGGGCCTCCCGCCTCTCCGCCTCGTCGTCGTTCAGCGGGGTGAGCAGGCGGGAGACGCCCTCCTGGTAGCTGCCCACCGCGGATCGCCGGAGCGGAGTCTCCAAGCGGGGCAGCGTCATGGTTCCGGAAAAGTGGGAAGATCGGGAGGATCAGAGGGACTCGCAGCCGAGATTGGCGGACGGGAGTGGCTATGGGCAACCGGGATCAACACAAAAATCACTGGTTCCTCTTCAACCGACAGCTGTGCTCCAAATTGGACAATTTCAAATTGTTCGTTGATCGTATTTTGCCTATTTCCCGATCTGCGCTGGTATTAGTACTAGTTTACAGTTTCTTTCAAACGACGCCGCTATTTAGGGCTGCAAAGCGACTGTTATTTCAGTGTTGGAAAGCGGCGGAGATATGGCGGGTTAGCTAGGGAAGTCGCTGAACTTACAGCTAGATTGTGTTATTTCTAGCTAAACAAAAACTTTTACTTACACTTTTTAAGTTTAGTAAGTTTATGTAAAGTTTAGAATCTAAATTCAGCAAACAAATATTCAATATTAAAAAAAAATGAATTCAAAATACAAGTCTTCTTCGTTTCTAACAGTGAAACTGATAAGTTATCAATGATAATGATATAAATAATGATATAGAACTAATGGACCAAAACTAAATAAATAAATCTAGTTTTCAGACTCATCGAGCTTCATTTGATACAAATGTTAAACAAAATAAGTTGCGTCCATCAAATACGTCAGAGCAGTGGAAATACATCCTTTAATCGGTATTCGAGAGCAGTTGGCAGCACTAGCGCTGCTTCTGCATCCCTGGAAGGCGGCAACTCTCACGCACACAGTCGCAAAACTTTAAGTCCGTCGCGCAGTTCACATCCATGTCGTGATTATTGTTACTGTTCGTTGTTTTCGTCCGAGAAACTTGAAATAACTCTTGCGCTGTGCGATAAGCTCAATGTAATCGAATAGAGCACAGGAAGTGCTGCGAGTTCTTAAATAGAAACCAGGATACTTAGCTTTGCCGCCGTTCGCGCACAGTGTGTGTGTATGTCTTTCGCCTGAGCCTGTGGTGGTGGCCGAATAACTGGACATTCCGAATTTGCGCAGTTCCAGCGAAATTAACGGGCTTTCCAGTTCGAATTGCGGAGTTACGAAGTTACGATATTATTGGGGTTACGTTTCCTAAGACTAGGAATTAATCATGGCGCGCGACACCCAAGGAACCCAGGGAACACAGAGCCAGGCCTCCAATATCTGGACCCAAGTGGAGAGCCAGCCGATGGAGAAGATCGTCTGGGGCCGTTTGTACGGCAAGAACATTAAGATCAAATCGCTGGGTACGAGCTCAAACTACCGAATTCTTTATACGCATTCGTCCCTTTCTGTTGGTAACCAAATTTCCTGCATGTTTTGTGTTTTTTAACCCTTTTCGGGATATTTGTAGTAATGGTGTTTGTATCTCGAACCGATTTCAGATCTCAACAATGACGAGTTCACCGCAGGACGAGGAGAGGCCAACGATTTGATCCTCACGCTCAACGATTTGCCCGAGAAAATCCTGACACGCATTTCCAAAGTGCATTTTATCATCAAGCGGGCAAATTGCGAGCTCAGCAATCCAGTTTACATACAAGTAGGTTGGGGGGTCTTTAATATAATTGGGGTTTTCTGAAGCCTTCTTAAAAATCAAGGGAATAATAAGTTACGAAACTTATCAATATATTTTTATAATAATTTTATGAACATGATTCCAAAGGGTAATCATTTGTCTACTTTTAATAAAAAATAAACATTATAAACTTAAAATTATTAAAATCATTTTTTGAATAATACATTATTTTGTTGGTATAAAAATGCAGTAAAAATTCAGTAGCTATAATTTTACAAGAAAATTCGAGATTTTTAATAAACATTATTTACTTAAAATTATTTAAATCATTTTTTGAATAATACATTATTTTGTTGATATAAAAATGCAGTAATTATAATTTGACAAGAAAATTCAAAATTTTTAATAAACATTATTTACTTAAAATTATTAAAATCATTTTTTGAATAATACATTATTTTGTTGATATAAAAATGCAGTAAAAATTCAGTAATTATAATATCGCCATTTCTAGGAATTTTAAAATACTACCATAAAGGCAAATCCCTCAATGTAATAACCTTTCTTTTCGCCCATTTCTCAGGATCTCTCGCGCAACGGGACGTTTGTGAATAATGAAAAAATTGGAACAAACAGGAAGCGAATCCTGAAGAACGACGATGTAATTTCCCTGTCCCACCCCACTTACAAAGGTAAGCGATCCAAAAACAGGTACAAAAACAAGTAATTCGATGTTTTGCACCTGCCTCCCTTGCAGCCTTTGTATTCAAGGATCTCAGCCCGAACGAGTCGATCGGTCTGCCCGAGGAGATTAACAAAAACTATTATGTAAATCGCAAACTGGGCTCGGGGGCGTATGGTTTGGTGCGTTTGGTCTACGACACCCGCACCTGCCAGCAGTTTGCGATGAAAATCGTCAAGAAAAACATGCTGTCTGGCAGTGCGCGACCCAGCACAAATTTCAGTGATCCCGACAGGGTCCTAAACGAGGCCAAGATCATGAAGAATCTCTCGCATCCGTGCGTGGTTCGCATGCACGACATCGTGGACAAACCGGACTCGGTCTACATGGTGCTGGAATTTATGCGCGGCGGCGACCTGCTCAACAGGATCATCAACAACAAGCTGCTGAGCGAGGAGACATCGAAGCTCTACTTTTACCAAATGTGCCATGCCGTCAAGTACCTGCACGATCGAGGTAATACTGTCTCTTCTATTATAAATTCATAAAACTAATTGATTTTGGAACTCTTAGGCATCACCCATCGCGACCTGAAGCCAGATAATGTCTTGCTAGAGACCAATGACGAGGAGACCCTGCTGAAAGTCTCCGATTTCGGGCTGAGCAAGTTCGTCCAGAAGGACTCGGTGATGCGGACCCTCTGCGGCACTCCTCTTTACGTGGCCCCCGAGGTTCTGATAACCGGCGGCCGAGAAGCCTACACCAGAAAGGTGGACATCTGGAGCCTGGGAGTGGTGCTCTTCACTTGGTAAGGAAATAAGAATATATCAATTACAATAGTTATATATTAATTAACTTATTTTTTGCAGCCTGAGCGGCACTCTGCCCTTTTCCGACGAGTACGGAACGCCGGCGGCCCAGCAAATCAAGCGGGGCAAGTTTGCCTACGGCCATCCGGCATGGAAGGGCGTCTCGCAACGCGCCAAGCTGCTGATCAACCAAATGCTCATTGTGGATCCCGAAAAGCGACCCTCAATCGACGACGTCCTGCAGTGCAGCTGGCTGCGAGACGCGCAAATGCTGCAAAAGGCCAAGAAGCTGATGAAGCTCGAGGGCATGGACATCGAGGAGGAGAACAACTTTCTCGAGCCGCCCACCAAGCGATCGCGACGCTAGCTCCTCTCCACTTCTCAATTTCTAAGGTCGAGGCGTGAAAAGGTTTTAATTTTCTGGAAAAATTAAGCGATAACATTTTTCCCCAAATCGCCGACACCGCAGCATCCGAGTGTATTTTTTTGCGGTTGTTTATTTTTACGTGTTGTCTAGTGTAAGTTTCATCATCTCCCCAGCCCGAAATCGCCTGTTAAACTGCATTTATTTCTGGGCCTTTGCATTCACCATTATTTTAAGCTCCGAATTTTGGCATTCCATTTGAATATGATTACGTTATATTACGGGTAATTGTTTAGAAACTAAAAGTACTATATGTAAGAACTTAATTTGACTCTTCAGCGAACCATTAAGCTTTTTGAAATAAAGCAATTGAATTTGTTTAAGTAATACTTTGTACATGCTCTTTTTTGGAAATAAAACCGAAATTGTTATGCCTCTTGAATGCCTTTTTCTTACTCCAATAAAATGTTTTTGCTTTGAATAGCTTATGTACATTTGTATTTTCAACGTCAAGATGTTTAGGGTTACAATTTGTGTAATACTTATATACATTTACTTATAGTTAAGTAAAAAAAAGCGTTGTATAAGCGTCATAGCACCTCAGTCAGGCCAAGCATAGTATAAATGCAACGTAGGTCTTAAAAAAAGGAAAAAAACTTAAGAACATCACAGGATCTCCAGCAAAGTTACTTGATCGAATGTGTGACCATTTTGCGGCCATGCCCGATGGTAATGAGGGTGCTATCATCGCTCCAAACGGCGTCGGTGAGGCGAGAATGGGTGTCCTGGTGCGTGTAGATGACCTCGTGGTTGGCCTGCACATCGACCACCTTCACCGCGGCGGGCAAATTGCTCATGGCAGCCAGATAATGCCTGTAAAATACGATTTTTTATAGAAATTTTTTAACCAATCTGGAATTTAAACCCTTACCCATTGATTAGAAGTTGCGATACATGTCCCTTGGTGAAGTATTCCCGACTTTCCGCCAGTTTACGCGGCACTCGGATGTCCAGAGTATGAACCTTGCCGTCGTAGTCGCCGAGATAAACATAATTGTCGCCCTGCAGCTCAGTTGGTGCTGCCCAGGCGGCGGTCGTGAAGCTGAGCAGATGAGAGGAGTCCGCATAGAGGCACGTGGAGGAGGGAGCCGCTGCCCGGACATCCCAGAGGCGGGCGCAGCCGCCGCGGTCGCAGGTCACAAATCTGTCCGCCGAGGCTGAGGGCGTGGCCAGGGCGGTCATCTTGTCGGTGTGAGCGGAGCGCGAATGGTAGGAGCTCACCAGATCGGCGCCCGAAAGGTCCCAGACCTGCAAGAGGATATCAGTTGATAAGAAGGATTCTAAGGAAGTACTTTCTACTTACATTGAGAGTCCCATCCGCTGATCCCGAGACGGCTCTTCGCGGATCCGCCTTGAAAACGCTCAGCTGGCTGATGGGCGTGGGATGGGCCGAGGACTCGCCCACCAGGAAGAGGCAGTAGGGATGCTGCGGATTGCGCACCTTGGAGTAGGTGGACCAGGCCTGGAGGCGCGTATCGCCCAGGGCCACCAGGAGCACATTGTTCTCCGCATAGCGCACAATGTTCACCGTGTGCTCGGCCTGCAGCTTGAAGTCCGCATTGTCCACGGTCATGTGGTTCACCTGGCTGCGTTCGTAGCCGAAGAACATGCCCCACCAGTGGCGTCCCTCGCGCCGGTTGGTGGCCAGTGCGTAGTGGTTGTGTTCGTTGACCGCGATGCTGTCCCAGCAGTCGTGGAGTCGCGGCGACAGGTTCTCCAGGCGCGCATTCAGATCGGCAACATTGAGATTCGGGTACTCCAGGCTGGTGGCCAGCTCCAAAGCCGGCGGCGGTTGGTGGGTCACCGGAGTGCGGTAGACCTCGGAGCTGCGTTGCGGGAACATAGTCGTTGGGTCGGGATTATCGGATTATCCGGGGAAACAAGCAAAATTGGCCAAGCGGCGGAGGAAAAGAAACGATGCGCGCGGCGTGTTGAGCTGGAGAAACATCGATCTATCGATGTTTTTATAAACTTTGGAAACATCGATGTTTGTTTTTTATCATCGATGTTTTTCGTTTCTATCGCGTTTCAATAGTCAGTAGTTCAGTAGTCAAGAATCAAAGCCTTAAGATATAGTGGTCCGATCCTGCTGAAACTGGGCAGTGATTAGGTGCTGAAACTGGGCAGTGATTAGGCGCTGAAAGTAGGCAGTGATTAGGTGCTGAAACTGAGCAGTGATTAGGTGCTGAAACTGAGCAGTGATTAGGTGCTGAAACTGGGCAGTGATTAGGTGCTGAAAGTATGCAGTGATTAGGCGCTGAAAGTAGGCAGTGATTAGGTGCTGAAACTGAGCAGTGATTAGGTGCTGAAACTGAGCAGTGATTAGGTGCTGAAAGTAGGCAGTGATTAGGTGCTGAAAGTAGGCAGTGATTAGGTGCTGAAAGTAGGCAGTGATTAGGTGCTGAAAGTAGGCAGTGATTAGGTGCTGAAAGTAGGCAGTGATTAGGTGCTGAAACTGAGCAGTGATTAGGTGCTGAAACTGAGCAGTGATTAGGTGCTGAAAGTAGGCAGTGATTAGGCGCTGAAAGTAGGCAGTGATTAGGTGCTGAAAGTAGGCAGTGATTAGGTGCTGAAACTGAGCAGTGATTAGGTGCTGAAACTGAGCAGTGATTAGGTGCTGAAAGTAGGCAGTGATTAGGTGCTGAAAGTAGGCAGTGATTAGGTGCTGAAACTGAGCAGTGATTAGGTGCTGAAACTGAGCAGTGATTAGGTGCTGAAACTGGGCAGTGATTAGGTGCTGAAACTGAGCAGTGATTAGGTGCTGAAACTGAGCAGTGATTAGGTGCTGAAACTGAGCAGTGATTAGGTGCTGAAACTGAGCAGTGATTAGGTGCTGAAACTGAGCAGTGATTAGGTGCTGAAAGTAGGCAGTGATTAGGTGCTGAAACTGAGCAGTGATTAGGTGCTGAAACTGAGCAGTGATTAGGTGCTGAAACTGGGCAATGATTAGGTGCTGAAACTGAGCAGTGATTAGGTGCTGAAACTGAGCAGTGATTAGGTGCTGAACCTGAGTAGTGATTAGGTGCTGAACCCGAGCAGTGATTAGGTGCTGAAAGTAGGCAGTGATTAGGTGCTGAAACTGAGCAGTGATTAGGTGCTGAAAGTAGGCAGTGATTAGGTGCTGAAACTGAGCAGTGATTAGGTGCTGAAACTGGGCAGTGATTAGGTGCTGAAACTGAGCAGTGATTAGGTGCTGAAACTGAGCAGTGATTAGGTGCTGAAACTGAGCAGTGATTAGGTGCTGAAACTGAGCAGTGATTAGGTGCTGAAACTGAGCAGTGATTAGGTGCTGAAACTGAGCAGTGATTAGGTGCTGAAAGTAGGCAGTGATTAGGTGCTGAAACTGAGCAGTGATTAGGTGCTGAAACTGAGCAGTGATTTGGTGGTGAAAGTAGGCAGTGATTAGGTGCTGAAACTGAGCAGTGATTAGGTGCTGAAACTGAGCAGTGATTAGGTGCTGAAACTGAGCAGTGATTAGGTGCTGAAACTGGGCAGTGATTAGGTGCTGAAAGTAGGCAGTGATTAGGTGCTGAAAGTAGGCAGTGATTAGGTGCTGAAAGTAGTCAGTGATTAGGTGCTGAAACTGAGCAGTGATTAGGTGCTGAAAGTAGGCAGTGATTAGGTGCTGAAACTGAGCAGTGATTAGGTGCTGAAACTGAGCAGTGATTAGGTGCTGAAAGTAGGCAGTGATTAGGTGCTGAAACTGAGCAGTGATTAGGTGCTGAAACTGAGCAGTGATTAGGTGCTGAAACTGAGCAGTGATTAGGTGCTGAAACTGGGCAGTGATTAGGTGCTGAAAGTAGGCAGTGATTAGGTGCTGAAAGTAGGCAGTGATTAGGTGCTGAAACTGAGCAGTGATTAGGTGCTGAAATTGGGCAGTGATTAGGTGCTGAAACTGAGCAGTGATTTGGTGGTGAAAGTAGGCAGTGATTAGGTGCTGAAACTGAGCAGTGATTAGGTGCTGAAACTGAGCAGTGATTAGGTGCTGAAACTGAGCAGTGATTAGGTGCTGAAACTGGGCAGTGATTAGGTGCTGAAAGTAGGCAGTGATTAGGTGCTGAAAGTAGGCAGTGATTAGGTGCTGAAACTGAGCAGTGATTAGGTGCTGAAACTGAGCAGTGATTTGGTGGTGAAAGTAGGCAGTGATTAGGTGCTGAAACTGAGCAGTGATTAGGTGCTGAAACTGAGCAGTGATTAGGTGCTGAAACTGGGCAGTGATTAGGTGCTGAAAGTAGGCAGTGATTAGGTGCTGAAAGTAGTCAGTGATTAGGTGCTGAAACTGGGCATTGATTAGGTGCTGAAAGTAGGCAGTGATTAGGTGCTGAAAGTTTGCAGTGATTAGGTGCTGAAAGTAGGCAGTAAGTAGGTGATGAAACTGTGCAGTGATAAGGTGCTGAAAGTAGGCAGTGATTAGGTGCTGAAAGTAGGCAGTAAGTAGGTGATGAAACTGGGCAGTGATAAGGTGCTGAAACTGGGCATTGATTGACTCGGCTATTGGTGCTGATCAAGAATATATATACTTTATGTGGTCGGAAACGTCTCCTTCACTGCGTTGCAAACATCTGAGTGAAATTATAATACCCTCTGCAAGGGTATAACAACAACAATGAGGTCTATCAACTTCTATAGAGCTTCGTTATTCGTTGCGATTGGGATCCATTTAAATTCCAAAATACATATCGATATCCAAATAATTAATGTAAAGTTTACAATGTCAAAAAAGTAACTGTATAAGATTCGTTAAATTTATTATTTTTACTCGTATAAAACTGTCAATATCTATTGTAATAACATATTTTATTCAAATTGGCTATTAATTCAAATCAGTTTAATTTTGGCGCCAAAAAACTCGAACAAAGCAGGCATACAGGGTGTTTTTTATTTTTTAGCTTTGCCAGATGGTAGCAAACAAATTTCCATAAATGGTCTCCCTAAAATGTTATTTCTAATTGGCGCCAATTTCAAAAGCACTTCCACACAAACACTTCGAAAATACTCAACAGACATATCAGCTGTTGAATTGCTGAATTGTTGAAAATTCAACAAAAAATTTCAGCAATTAAGGGAACGACCCAAAATGGTTCCTGATGAATTTTCAAACAGCTGTTATTTGTTAAAAAGTTTCAGGGAACTTAAAGCACGTAAAATTTGATTTATTATTGCTAGTTACTGTCTAAAAGGGTTACCAACGTATAAAGAACCACAAATATTCTTTCTAAGTTGATTTTAAAATAAATAATGCGTACTGGTGATACTAAAATGTTACAGAGTTGCCACGACTTTTAAAAAAAGGTGACAGCTCTGGCTTTTCAGCAATTCGACAAAATTTTCAACAGCCCCGAGGCTGTTGAATTGCTGAAATTTCTGAAAGTTGACTTTGTATGGAACAGCTGATTAACAGCTGACCAAAATTCAACAATTCAGCAATTCAACAGTTTAGGGAATCCCCCTATTAAATATGTAAATTAACAAGAAATACGTTGTGTTTTAACATTTCTGTAACGTGATGTGAACATATCGATGGTCGCCACTATCGATGTTTTCAAAATGTATAAAAACATCGACCCATCGATGTTTCCATCGACGTTCCTCCATCTCTATCGCAAAGTTGTTGTTGTTGTTTTTTGTTTATTATTATCGCGTCGTTCGTTGCGCGCTGGCGTTTAGTTTTTTAAATAGCGCACTTCCTTGTGCGACTCCGCAGTAACCCAAACGTCGTAGATTCCTTGCCCAGCCCTCAAAGAACCCGTTATTTCCTTACATAACTGAAGAATAATTTTGAATTTAATTTACCAACGGAACGGAAGGCAATTAACCGAGACACGCAAGTGCATGCACACTATTATGCAAAGTGCAGAATTGCAGCTGGCCTAAGAGAAAAAAGAAAAAAAAAAGAAAAATAGAAACAAATGCAAAAAGTGCCTGGGCAAAACGAGAAAAATCAGCTGTGATCTTTGTGTTGGGTTCACCATAGAGTGGGTGGCAAAGTGGGCGGGATGGGGGGTGGTGGGTTGCTGGACATCTACTCCATGGCCTGGGAGCATCTGAGACCCGGAAGTTCGCCCGTCGATTGGTGCGAAGGCAATTACTTGATTTCATCCAATATCGCAGAGTTCGTGAACACGGTGCGTATGTGCAATTTATTTTAATATACTCTCGCTCTGCTCTAGTTAGTTAGCAGTGTTGTTGCTGTTGTTCTTTTTGTCTTTGTCACTCACACAGCAGCTGCGAATTTTCCTTTTATGTTAGGCCTTGACCTTTTTAGAGCGAGACCGAGTGAATGTAAACAAAAGATGCGATGCTGTTTGGCCACGCTTCGTTTGCGAGAGCGAGACGGAGCGTTGGAGAATTTTCGCAGTGCGACACCCGGAAAATGCAGTTTTCTTATCGCAATTAACCCCCGATGTGACCGTTATACCTGTCCGATCGATATGAAACTTGGGATAGGGGGAGGAAATGGAAAAGCAAAGGGTTTACCTTCAAAAAAGAAATCAATGTCTCTTAAGAATGTTTCAGAATTTTAAAATTTTGCGTAGAACTTGAAATCAAAGTATTCCTATTATTTTGAATAATAATAAATTTATATTTTCTTTTTTCTAGAAAAGAAAGGGATCTAATCAAATTTTTCTGTTTTTAATTTTTCTTTATTATTCAAGTTTTGACTTATTCCAGTATTTGTTGAAATTTAAATTTTTATTACAATTTTCCCTTTACTAAAATAAAATGTAAGTTTCAAGAAAATTGATTGCAATTCTCGTTAAAATAAGCTTTCCAACGAATGTAACTTGATATGTGTCGCTCTCACTTTCATTAGTTCTTATCAATGATAATCACCCGATGTTTACCCTTCACTGAAACGCAGTTTCTGTAAACAAACAACTATGGTAAATGTGGATCAAAACAATGATGGTGCCATTTACGTCTTGGTTTACCAGCTTAGTAATATCTAGTAAAGATATTTAGAGAGTTTAATATTTTCTATTCCCAGTTAAAAGTTTCCAGCCTCCTAATCTCAAGTCCAAAAGGTTATCGGACCCCCCTCAATTCACAATCCATTACAATAATATGTCGTAACACTCATAATCTTGCGTATATTTCAAATGGGACGCATTATCATTTATTTCTTGGCTCTTCGGTCAATGGGAAATAGGAAAGCCCTATTTAATAATGTAGAACGGCAATTGAAATGATTGGTGGGCGATACACTTCCGCTTGCTAACGACAATTGGTCAACTTTTAATTGACTTCGGTGTCATGAGTAATCGTTTGTGGGCCAGTGAAGTGCAAGTCGCTTAAAACGCATTTCGGCTTTGTTTCAATTGAGTTTGCTCAACAAAAAGTTGTACAAACGGAGTGAATGACCTCCGATCTTGACACTCTGCTGCACAATAAAAAATCAAAGCGAGACTTTGCCATATATTATAGGGATAAATACCTCTATAAATATACGAGAAATATGAATAATGAAGCCTAACCCATTTCTTTATCAATTGCTTTGGAATAATACGAAAATGTAAATATTGTTCCATCCACTCTTTAGATGTGATAATTGCTCCACTTCTCGCTTTGTTGCCCACACAAAATAATTGCAGGTAATTCAATTTGCTCTGAAATTAACGTGACAGAGTGCAAAGTGTCGAAGTGTCACGTAAAAAATGAACAGCAAACATAATTAAATATTTACATTGCCAACGCAAACCCGATGTTCAGATATACAGAAAGAAAAAATGACAAAAGATATTAGATAAATATTGTTAAACAATATTTTCTTATACGATTCTGATTTCCATACATAATAAGAAGAATATTTGTTCTTAAACTAATTTAGCTGGTATTTAAAGGATTACTTTTAGATTTTTTTAATTATTTTAAATAAGGAAGTTAGTATCGCAAGTTTTTCAACTGTTAAAATTATTATAATATTTATAATAATACAATAACTAATTAAATTGGTTTTTCAGGGATTACTCTTACAATTTCCAAATTATTTTAAATAAGCAAGTTAGTATAGCAACTTTTCCAACTGTTAAACTCAGTATAATGTTTTCATATTTGTGGATAGAATGTTATGCAGTATATAAATAATTCAAATAATATAATTACTCTATTTCCAATCGCTTACAGTTTAGCAATATTTTGTTTATCCTCCTCCCGCCCGTGCTGATAATGCTCTTTAAGGAATATGGACGCTTTGTAACGCCCGGAATTCATGTGATTTGGGTGCTGCTCATCGTGGTTGGCCTAAGTTCGATGTATTTCCATGCCACCCTGAGCTTAATTGGCCAACTCCTCGATGAACTGGCCATTCTGTGGGTCTTCATGGCTGCATTTTCTTTATTCTACCCGAAGCGCTATTATCCCAAGTTCGTGAAAAACGATCGGTGAGTAAAATGATATCATAGGCGTGCTTGGTGCACCCCTATCTAAATACCCGACTTTCGGTTTCCTTTGTTTCCAGCAAAACCTTCAGTTGGCTCATGTTAATGTCGGCGATCGCCGCAACGGGCTTGTCATGGTGGAAGCCGATTGTTAATGCCTTTGTTCTCATGTTCATGAGTATTCCGACCATGGTAATGCTCTACACGGAACTACAGAGGTGAGTTTATGTACCGACTCCATAACTCGTAAATCTGAGGGACTTACTGATAAGCAAACCGTTCTGATTTTCCGCCTGGTGACCCGCAATGAACCAAGTCCATAAATCATGTATCTATCATCACTCATCCTTGTTATCATTATCGTATGTATATGCGATTGTGTTTTATCGTTGGGAACAAGTGTACTAAGCTGAACTGAGTCGCTATTCGAATAGATTGTGAAACTATTTCAACCTTATCAGCACTTATTTACACAATTTTACTTTTTGTCATTCTGTCGATGCGGAATGGGCCGACTAGGTCAAAGATCGAACCAAAGAGGTGTTCCCTGCACCGGGAACAGATGTTCTGGGAAAAGGTGCGGTTCATCAATCAATCATATCATTTTGGTTCGAGTGTGTAATTACGATAAGCCTGAAGTAGCCGCACTGTAGTAGTTCTTTACTCAAGGGTTTACTGTTTATATTGGTTTAGGAAGTTAATGGGCCACCGAATACTCCCCCGGGATTTACTACTGTCATAAAGTTGAGTAATGTCTGACGTATATGGGTTACAACTGTGAGGAATTATATTATACACTATTCTTATTTCCTTTCCTAAAGAAAATTAAATGACATGACTCAGACTCAACTTGTATTAAACATCTTTAAAATTAATTGTGTATATATTTCCATAATTTGTCTATCGTTTTATTATAATATTTTTTTTTTTATAAATTCAATGTTAATCTTCACTAGTTATATTTAAACTGTCCTTGCAAATGCAGTATTTTTTGGCAATCTTTTCATTTATGCAATTGGCATCGTTTTTATACGAACTTAAACGACTTAGATCCTCCACTTTCATGGGGAGAAGCTTCTGTGTTCGATTATTCCAAAGAACAGTGGCCTCGAAAAGGGGGTTTTTCGGTAGAGTTTTAAAGACAATGGTGTAGATGTGCTCGTCCTTATCGGATGGTTTAACCCCAGTGGATAGGATGGTTTTCCGATCCGCCTTTTCGACACTTTTGTAGGTAAAATCATGGCAAATTTGGCTAAGATTATGGCTAATTAAATGCTCATTCATGCGCTTTACAATGGTCTGTGTTATAATCTTCGCAAAAGGCAAATTTGTTACAGTTTTGGTGGGTTGACAACAGCACCATTTCTCAGCGATTCCGGCCATATGACAAGTTCGATTGAAAGGTAGCTCGAAGAAAAGCGATTGACAGCTTTTACACTGCCTGGCCCTCAGATTATCGGGAAAATCAGCCATGGATTTCGCATCCAACTGGAGTAAATGTAGCAGAGTCATGTAAACATCAAAATTGGAGGATAGTCGATTTCGGTTTGTCTTCAAATTCTCCGCCAGATGCGGATATTTCCGGCGGAACCAAGGCGGCAAATGGATAAACATCATGGGCATGCGCTCCTCAAAATATCCCGTGGAAGCCGTCCTCAAAGTATTGTATCTATAGCCATGATCGCTCATCAGAATCACAATCGATTGCCTAAAGAGATCGGACTCTTCGAAGGACTTTAGGTACTTTAAGAAGAGATCCTCCAAAGCGGTGGCTCCTTCGTAGTAATCGTGTGTGAAGCTATTGCTCCATATAAAGCCAAATAGCGGAGTTCTGCCCAGAAAACGATCGATGAACTGCTGGCCAAAGTCCCAGACATAACTGAAGCTGAGATGACGACCCACACAGTAGGGATATCCATAGTCCTTGGTCACCTTAAACTGCTTTTCGATTGCAAAAAGCAGAGGTCGCAGATAGAAATCCGTTGGCTGCCTTACGAAACCCGGTTTCAGGTAGTTAAAGGTACTAATGGACTCACAATCCTCGGCAAAGGCTGTTGTATAGTTGGCTTTTTTGAAACGCTTCCAAATAAAGTTCAGGGTGTCCAGGCAACCGGGTTTCTTGACATCACAAAAATCCTTTACTCCTTCTTCGGAATCTCCCGTCAGGATGGCCAGAAGATTGGGAAATGTATTGTCGCCCACTTTATTGTATCCCTGCATCTCAAACCATCCGGGTTGGCTGACGAATTTGAGGACCCTTGGCATCGCACGCCGCAGATTTATCCGCGATGTGGAGTCCAGTCCCATTATAAAGACACTCGGTTGTTTGGGATCCGAACTTTGTTTCTTCTCAAAATCCTTCACCTTCTTCTTTGTTAGACGGTCTTGAATGAAGGAAATGGCATCCCTTTGCAGCACCTGTCGATGATTATGCGCATCCTTTACATAGCAATTGGTGGTCATAAAGTTGATGTTTTTCGAAACAAACTGGTGGTTCCTAATGGGTCGAATTCCGAGCTGTCTGAAATGGATTATTATTATTAAAACAAACTAAATATTATACTTAAATAGCAGGGACCGTAAAAGTTATAAGTTTTACTTTTAAAGTCATCGGTTAATCGTTATTCAACACCTTTTATTTATAAGTCATGAAGTAACGGTTATTTCAGACTTGTAAATCAAAAGTCGGAGAATAACAGTTATTTTTACTAAAATTTGTTTAGGCTTTTATTATAAAAGTCATGAATAAAAGTTGCGGAGGACTTTTTTTGGTCAAAAAATAACTGTTATTCTCTGTCTTTAAAAAAAGTCGGAAATAACAGTTACTTCATAACCAATTTTAAAAAAGGTAAAAAAGTTTAGGTCATTGCGGATATGAATAGACCGCATTAAATTGGTTAAGTGATTTTTTTCTCAGATTTTTAGTGTTATCCTAGGCGTATGGTTTTTTCGATAAAAAATAATAAAATAACTGTTATTTTCGGTCCCTGTTAAATAGTAATATATTGCAGTTTTTTATAATTTTTGATATATGGGTGGGAATTGAAAAATTAAGATCATGTTCTCAGATCATAAGCATATATCTCCTGATTGTAACGTTCTTATGAGAATTGTTTCCATAAATAAGAGATTGCATATATACAGAAGACTATAGTCTTCGAGCTTTACACATGTTCCCACATCTTTTCTACTCACTTATAGTTGTCATCCGGTTTCTTGGCGGTGGTATCCCGTAATATTTCCCGGTACTCGCACTTCATGGTGGCATGGCCCTTGGTTTTCAGAATGGGTCTAGCCAGGTGCTCGTGAATGTGCAATCGGTACTGATGTGTCTCGAAATCGAATTCACTTGTAACCATATCGCTGTCGTTGTGGCACTGCCGCATCTCTTTCCTCTCGAAGTCACTCATTGTGTCCCAAGTAAAGGGATTCACGGCGGGCATCTGGCAAACCGGACTATTGACATAATACTTTGGGTCTCCTCCAACTTTGTTCCAAAGTACCAGAGATGTTAGAACGCAGAGGGCTAGAAGCTCCTTACACCTGCGATTCATGATTATCAATAGTTGTAGCACTTTCATTTTTTGACTCAAAGGGGTCTGTTAATAATGTCATTTGCTACGCTTAGTTAACTTTAACTCAAGTTTAGTTTAGTTTAACAATATTTTTATGAGCTATGAATTACCATAAGTTATGGTATAATGTTTTTAATGTTGTTCAAAAAAAAACTTTAAAAAAAACCTAACACCTTATCAAAAATGCAATAAAAAGCTGATTAAAATGTTTTTATACCCTTGCAGAGGGTATTATGATTTCAGTCAGAAGTTTGCAACGCAGTGAAGGAGACGTTTCCGACCCCATAAAGTATATATATTCTTGATCAGCATCACAAGACGAGTCGATCTAGCCATGTCCGTCTGTCCGTCTGTCCGTCCGTCTGTCCGTCTGTCCGTCTGTCCGTCTGTCTGTTTCTACGCAAACTAGTCTCTCAGTTTTTAAACTATCGGGATGAAACTTTCCCAAAAGTCTTCTTTCTATTGCAGGTAGTATATATGTCGGAGCCGACCGGATCGGACAACTATATCTTATAGCTCCCATAGGAACAATCGGAAAAAAAAACTTTAAAAAATTCTAGCTTCGGTGTTTTTTGAAATATTACCTTCTACTTTTGGGGATGTTATTTTTTAAATATATCTGAATTTCGAATTAATTATTTAAAAAATCGGACTACTATATCATATAGCTGCCATAGGAACGATCGGAAAATTAATGAGAAATATTAGAAAATTGAACATTTTTGCGATTTGTTTATTAATAGGAATGATCTGCAAGGGTATATAAGCTTCGGCTGGCCGAAGCTAGCTTCCTTTCTTGTTTTTTTTTTAATAATTGTTTTAAGATACCAAATATGTTTAAACGTAAAGAACTATTTATCAGTTCTTTTAATATTTATCAAACATATACATATTATATTAAGCCTTATTTTGTTTAATAATGTTTTTTTAATATATATAATGTTTTAATATATTATTCATAATTCATATTCATAATTTTTTTATCACAGACTAATATAAATAATATTTTAATAAAGTATTCATCATTCTAATACCTTTTATTTTCTAATCCCATACAGAGTTAGTGACCAGAGGGTTTATCGCCTGGGAATTCGATCGACAACCGTCTGGGCTGTGGCCGTTTTCTGCTGGATCAATGACCGGGTCTTCTGCGAAGCCTGGTCGGCGATCAATTTTCCGTACCTGCACGGCTTCTGGCACATATTCATTTTCATAGCCGCCTACACGGTGCTGGTGCTGTTCGCCTACTTCTACGTGGAATCGGAACTGCCCCAGCGACAGCCGCTGCTCAAGTACTGGCCAAAGAACGAGTTCGAATTCGGGATACCCTTCATATCGATCAGGAACCCAGGTAAGGCCCTGCGAAACACCATCTAAGGACGATTCTGGAGTGGAGAGAGAGAAAAGCAGAGGGCAGAGAAATGACCAAAGACCAAGCGATAATACAAACAATTATTGTAAAATTACAGAGATGTAATTGTGGCGCACACTTTTTATATAGTTAAAGACATTTTATTAGCCATAGATATATTTATATAGCAAACGAATTGGATTCGCAGTTGTGTCTGAAGAGAAAAGTCTGTTAACGCATTAAGATTCGTTGCAACTGAAAACTCAGGCCAAAAACAAATAATTGTAGAGCTTTGCTTAGTCATAAAAAAAAAGACATATCCCGAAAAAAGGAAAAAGAAATCCATACCAAAATTAGTATTTCGCCTAGCCTTTCCGCTAAGTTCAATCAAAGTCTTCTAAGCCGTTCTATGAGTATCTGTTACCATCAGACTGTGATATGTTATGAACTAATTCATCCCATGACTTCCAGAACATACAGTTCCTACGCTTTCCCAAAGAGTCCAACACTTTAATTAGGTTGTCCGTACCTGAATGTTTTACTTGTTTTGTGGTTAATGTTCTCTCTAACCTTGTGCAAACTCACAACCTAACACCTACTAATTCTGGATTAAAACGCTAATAGTTTACTAACTACAAACCACAACTTAACCCCAAGCTACACTAATCAAAGTAGAAGATTGCTCAAAGTATATTAAAATTTCAAATGATCCACAACGCTACCTTGCTGATCCCACAGATTCGAAAGATTGGCTCGTCTACTGCAGCCTGTACATGCAGGACTATGACTACAAGCACGGAAAGAACTAAAGCAAGATTTCGAGCGAAATCGAAAGATAGACAAACACAGCGTGATATATAAGGAATACCTAAATTAAATATACAATACACTAGCCGTTAAAAATGTAGCTTGTCTGCGGAGATGGCAGAAACCAAATTAAGTATAGCTGCCATATATAGAGCGTTACGTTAGGAAATATGATTTACCTAGTTTATAATAAATGTTACATTCAAGCTCCTCTGTTTTGTCACAATAAAGAATATTATTTGATTTGCTTTCGTATTTATTCATTAGTATGTTGCATAAACATAGATTACTTCTACATACTTTGTAATTCGTATAACTTTTCATTCCCTTACATGGTAAGTGTCTTTTTCTATAAGTGTTCGCTGAGCATTGGTCCAATAAAATTCGTTAGGCAATGTCACATGGTTCGAATGTATATGAGGTCGCTTTAATCCGAATCCGATGATATATTGGTACAGGAATCGTGAGCGATGCGTTTGTTGATGGGATTATAGATTCCATTGAGCGGATACGGACCGCGGTAGCTGATAATATTCTTTGGTGTCTCATGGATTTTCACCTCGTACAGCAGTTCGGGTTTCTTCAGCTGCAGACGGATGTTGTCCCAAATGTAAACGGCCAAATTCTCTGTGGTACTGGGCTGGAGGGTCAAAGAAAATCATTGTTAGTGCGGTAAGCTGGGTTGTGTTTTCAGGTAACCCACTGTATCGGCAAAATATTCCACATCCTTGTCAAGATTCTTGTGATCCAGACGCTTCATTATCACCGTCTCAATAGCCTCTTTCAGCTCCGAGATGTTGAGCACCATTCCAGTTCGCCGATCGATGGGACCACGAACGGTAATCTCGACTGAAAATATAGGAAAAAATCATTTGAATATAATTTAATATAAAAATGTAGTAAAAAGTTTCCTTATTTTAAAGTTTTAATACGATTTTTGGCCAAATTTCGAAATTGGCTGTGTTATAACTTTTCCAGCGCAGACTTTTTAATTCATTAATCCATCAAAATAGCACGTAAGATAACAAAATTAAATTATTCTATTACAAAATATTATTTAAATCGATTTTTTGATATATAAGGATATTATAAACAATTCAGAATTGTTTAAAGTATGATCTTCTAATCTATTTATTTACAAAAAAGTATTTCTTTTATTCGAATTTTGGTCAACATTTTTTTTTTAATTTTCTTATCCCAGAAAAAACATAAACCACCTTTTGCGAATTCCTAAATTTCTAAAATAAGGATTGTATAATATTTATTTGTAGTACATATTACTTAAAAGGGCAATATAAAGTTTAAAATTTCTAAACTTGGTATGGTAATATTCCACAAATTTGAAAGGATAGACAAGGACGTTAGTTTGTTTGGGGTTAACCTCTAGAAAACTATTTTTAAATGACCCCTGATCATATATGATTATTATGCTCCCGTAAAGCACTATTCATTATCAATTCTCGGTCGGCAGGCCACGTATTCGATTACCTATGAGCGTTGAACTTGAATATGGTTTTGATAAGCGAGCTTGTCGGCCAAGGTTTAGCTATGGTTAGACATTTTTCGAGTCTCGGATTACCAATATAACTGGGGGTTATACCCGATTGAGCCCGGGTTATACGATATATCTGCCATTTTGCAGGTAATCAGGCGTTTAAATGTACATATTTAATTGTCTTTTCACCTGTATAGTTGTGTCCGTGGCCATGGAAATTGTTGCATTTTCCAAAGACTTCCAGGTTCTCGGCATCGCTCAATTGGGGACTGCAAATAGAGTGTTTTTATTGGGAATATCGATACAGATCGAACTCAATTGGTTTGCCAACTGTGATTGAATTAGGCAATTGAACAGATTCAAATTGATTCAATTTAATTACCTATGGAGACGGTGACAGGCGCTGAAAGTTTCGCGACGAGTGAGGAAGGCAACAGGTTGCTGCGACATTATAAGTCCGACTTCTTAAGTTGATCTATGTATTTTTATATCTCCGATTAGTCAGCTGCACGCCTTAGCACTGTTTTACAATGAATGCAAAACCTGCTTTCAAGTCGGGCCTATTTATATGGTATTTGGCTATTGGGGAGAACAAGGAAATTATTGGATTGATGCGGCGACTAATAAATCACAACAACAACAATGCGTTCGGAACTAGTTTCTGCTGAACCTTTTAATTGCAGCTGATTTGCGTGTTTTGGATCTGATCTCTGTAGAAATTTGTTAATGCTGCAAGAATAGTTTTTAGAATTTTAAATCCCTGTTTGAACATTAAATAAACATAGGGGTCTCACCTTTATTTGCTACGCAATTGTTTAATAATATTTACTTTTGTCTACGTTGCTCGTCAACAGCTGTTCCCGATAACTAGGCAGGGTCATCGGTTATCGGTCAGTGATGACGAGTTGGCACTTCAAGTGACTGTTCACAGTGATACCGGTTCTTCGACTGTTCTCAGTGATTTGGTTTGGGAAATTCTGTATTTTAAATACATATATACTTCTGTTCAGAGAGAAACAGCAACTTTTTCTAAAATAAGAAGTACATATACAAGGCCTACTGAGACTTGTATAAGTTTTAATTAACAATTTAACTAGTTTTTATGCATTTTATAGACATGAAGAAATAAAAGTTAATTTACTTTTCGCATTTGCTGACATGCATATACTTTGTGGACAAGAGTAAAAAGAACGTTATTTTTGACGTTTAAAACAAATATCACAGTAGTCTTTTTAAAATAAAAATCTGAAATAACAATTATTTACGATTCCTGCTTGAAAGACTTATTTAGACTATTCGGTATTTTTATTGTTTTTATTATTTAAAGGTAGGTGTTTTCATGGGCAAATGCGTTTATTTGGCCAAAAAAAAACAATTGACTTAATAATCTTATGTTATTCAAAGTTACCGTTAAAATAGCAATTTTTGAAAATAAATGCGTCCCATCCCTGGCACTTGATAGCGTTGCCAGACCAGCCCTCTGATCCCTCTCCAAAATCACCCCTGCTTTGTTATCGGCCGACGTTCGTCACTAGCTAAAAAAATCAACAAACGACGCCGCGCAAATATTCGAAATATTCTTGTTAAAATTAAATAAAAGCAAGGAAAAACTCGAAAATTATAGAACCAAAAGATGAGCAACAAGAGCACGCCCGTGCGCCAGCGCATCCAGCAGTTCCAGACGCGCGGCACGCACAAATCGACGCCGGCGTCGGAGATCAGCGGGCTGCGCAAGAAGGTGCTGATGACGCGATCGGAGGATCACCGGGAGCATCTGCTAAATACGGCGTTTAGCGGGAGTGGAGGAGGATCTGGGGGCACCCCGCAACCCAAGCCGAAATCCACCTCCCTCAATGCCTGCTACACACCATCCTCGCTCTACAGGAATACAGCAAATACCCCGGCAAAAACCAAGACTCCAGGAAAACCCAGCCGACCGAAGGATCGCGACTCCCTGATGGGCGACTCCTGCCTCAGCGTCTCCGAGGAGAGCAACATGATTGTGGCCGTAAGGGTAAGACCCCTAAACGCTCTGGAATGCACCCGCGGTCAGGTGACCAATGTGGTCCAGGTGCACGGAAATAGCAACGAACTGACCGTTCAGGCGGGCAGCAGTGCGGATTCCTCAGCCGGTGTGACGCACTTCTTCAGCTACGACCAGGTGTACTACTCCTGCGATCCCGAGCGCCGGAACTACGCCGGCCAGGCCAAGGTCTTCGAGGGCACAGCTCGTCCTTTAATCGACACTGCCTTCGAGGGCTACAATGCGTGTTTATTTGCCTACGGGCAGACGGGCTCGGGCAAATCCTACAGCATGATGGGCATCGAGGCGCTGGACGACGCCGCCTTGGACGGTGGGCCACCGCACGACGAGGCGGGCATCATTCCGCGCTTCTGCCACGAACTCTTTCGTCGCATTGAGGCTGTTAAAAGGCAGCAGCAACTGCAGGTTGAGGTGGAGGTCAGCTACTTTGAGATCTACAACGAGAAGATTCACGATTTGCTGAGTGTCCAGCATGCGGCGGCTGCTGGGGAATCCACTCCTGTTCAGCAGCAGCATCACCAGCAGCAGCAGCGACCTGCTTTGAAGGTGCGGGAACACCCCATCTTTGGACCCTATGTAGTGGATCTCAGTGCCCACTCGGTGGACTCGTACTCGGCTTTGCGCAACTGGCTGGCCGTGGGCAACTCCCAGCGAGCCACCGCCTCCACGGCCATGAACGACAAGAGCTCGCGCTCGCATTCGATCTTCAATATTGTCCTGAACCTCACCGATCTGAGCAGCGACGATGGTCTGTCCTCCGATACGGAATCTGGGTCGACATCCTCCCTCCGGCAGACGCGGCGCAGCAAGATCAGTTTGGTGGATCTGGCGGGCAGCGAAAGGATCAGCGTCTCGGGCTCGAATGGCGAAAGGATCCGCGAGGGCGTCAGCATCAACAAGAGCCTGCTGACGCTGGGAAAAGTTATTGCTGCTCTGGCCGATTCCCGCAAGGCAGGCGGAAATGGACCGCTGGGATCTGGAACACCCAGCACCTTTGTTCCTTATCGGGAAAGTGTGCTCACCTGGCTTTTGAGGGTAAGTGTTGAGAAATATTATTAACTGCTTTTTGTACTTATCAACTGGGTCAGTGGGGTGGTCTACTTTTGGTCGGTGATAATTCGTTGGGAATCGATTGAGGGGAAAATTAAATTATTTGAAATTCAAGGGTCAAATTGAAGTGTTTAAAAATACAAAGTTATCTTTGTAAATGCATAAATGTATGTTACTAAATTGAAAATAGAGCCCTGCATGAATGGATTCAATGAATTATTTTGAATTTTTTGTTTTATATGAATAAACTTTGAGTTTAATAGAATTGAATGAATGAATGGCATGAATTCCGAAATAATTCAAACGACTATTTCTTTTGAAGAAGAAAGGGTCATAATTTTGTAATTAAATCTGAAGAATTTTATTTTCTAAGCAGTTAACATTGATTTGTTAAAAATGGTCCACTTTCTGTTCTCAAAAGAAAGCACAACAAAATCTGGCAAATTCAAAAAATTCCTAAAAATTATTCATTCATTCATTCAATTCGAAATGAATTAGAAAATCATTCAATTTATATAAATTTTATATTCAGTTAGTAAAACTCGTTATTTCTGTCTTATAAGGCCTACCTTTATTATAAATAAATACCCTGGCGATACTTTCCGTAGTTTTGCCACCTCCAACGAATCGGCTATCAACACTTTCGCTTTGATAAGCCAGTGGCCCGCGGAATGAGGTCTCCCCACAATCAGTAATTACCCGGAAAGCAATCAGCACCAAGAACTGCACTGGGAATGCACCCGACCTCTGTGGAAAGTACCCACAAAAATGGCACACATTCAAATATTTACATAATTTCTGGGCAAATATGACCATCGATCTCGTGATGCTTCAGCTAACTCTTTGTCTCCATGCTCATTGTCTATAGAGATTTGATCTCGTGATGATGTGTCGTCGCCCTGTCTTTTCAAACACGCGAATTTGCCTTTTATGATGTCTGCATTTTCGAGACCAGGTCCTATGACAGATTGCTGTTTGCTTAGCCAATTAAATGGTATGCTAATTACCTTAAATAAAATAAAGATGCGAATTGTGTGAAAAGTTGGAAAAGGAGAAGATTAGATTGTAGGATAAAATATGATATTTTTTATATTTATTTGTTTTATCTTTATTCGTTTGTTTATTTTTATTTTTTGATAAATACTCAGACCCAGTTTCTTATTTATTATTTCCTTATCTCTTTCGATAGTGAAACTTTTTATCTCGGTCTTAAAATTGAATCAAAGACCTCCCCGCGCCTCAATCAATTGAGTGATTAAAGCCTTGGCTTCTTATCATATCTATTTAAATTTTGCTTGCTTTGCTTTTTTATTTGGCCATAAAATTTATGACCTGATAGAATGGCACGTGTAAGTATTCTACAAATTTATTTTAAGAAAGCTTTCTTGGTAATAAAGAAAGATAGCAGAAGCTTTATTTACTTTGTTGAGAATTATATCTCAAAGATGTTCGTTGTTGTACTTTATGAGACATTTAGGTAGAATATGAAAGAATAAACATCTCTAAGGAACTGTGTTTTTAGAACAATAACACTTAAGGCTCTACATACTAGCTAGATAAATTACTTTTATTAGTAAAGTGAGTCAATAGTTATAAAATAGTCATGGGACTACCTTACAAAACTGAATCATTATTCAACTCAAATATTTTTCTTTTTTAATTATCATTACATAAACGATTTACCTTTTTTTTGCTAAATAATACACATTTGCTCACGATTTCCACTAATTGTTTGAATTGAGTAATGGATTGGAGTTCTCTATAATACCTCACATGCTGCTTACTTATGTGTATACTTGTAGTTAACAACTGCTCTCGAAGGAAAATCACAAGTTTTGACCACTTGTTTAATATCTTGACTATTGAATTATTACAAGGTCGATTAATCCATTATAAAGGGCTTTATATAATTCAGGTATCTGCGTCTAAATAAAGGTGCACTTGACATTTTACGACGTAATTTACAATCATTCCACGATATTCTGTGAGTAATTATAGGGCGCCAGAGTGAAAGGCTCTTGATTGAAGGCACTACAAAGTCCAAGCACTTGTCTTTTTTCCCGAAACCCGTTCCACTAAGTGTTGTTTATTGTCTAGCCACTTTACTTTAAGTTACGGTAGTACGCCCCAGAGAATCCCTTAAATGTTTCCGTTTAATATATGGACTCGGCCATAAAAGGTGAAGACAAATATTTGCTGGAATGGCGTCTTACCCAATTATATCGTAACCAAGTCAATAGGAAGCCCTTGGGATCGTTATAACTAAAAAAGACAACATTGTTAAACAACCTAGAAGTTGAGGCGACCTTGCTTGAGTCCATCTGTGATAGAGATTGTATATTTCTTGACTTCCATCGTTCCTGTGACTGACTATCTTTGAAGTACTTTTCCTATCTTTGCATAATAAACACAAGTTTCTCTGCCCACCCCAGCGATTTATAAATACTTTGAAGATAAGTTTTTTTCTTTATTTTTTCCTTGGTGTTCTTTGGTACTAAAACAATATAACACTTGATACGTTATCGCGTCTCCTAAGTTGCGACACCAACAATTTCAATTGTTGCTGTCGTTGTCGCCGCTTTCCACATTTACAGGCCGTAGGCTCGCATTTGCAATTGCCCTTGCTCAATTTTTTTCCATCCTTAAGAGCTGCAATAACAATTTGTACACAATATGAATAATTTACGGTGATCAAATGCAATACTCGTAAATAACGTAAACTAACAAAATTCATTGTTTACTAATCAGTAACTATAGACACAGTAAGATAATTTATAATGCCTAGTTTATTAAATACACTTTACAAGAAAATATATGTTGGATCTTTTATCTATTTGAATTCAGTTCTAAACTTGTTTTTATCTTAGCTCTCCAAATTTCACCTTATAACTCGATTTGAGATATCTAAAAGAGTCTAGCCTTAAATTTAAACAGTACATGTGGTCCCAAAATGAACAGCCGTTCCTCTTTATAGCCATAATCAGACACCGAGCATAATAAAATCCCATCAAAATTTTAACACAATCCATTATCTAATGACCTAACTAATTGTAGTTCAAAACGAGGACGGAAGCTAACTTCGGCAAGCCGAAGTTTTAATACCCTTGCAGATTTCACTAATGAAAACTTGACTAAAATAGCAAATTGAATTAATAAACAGCAAAATATTCTATAATTGAAAAAAATAAAAAATTTAAATTTTTCACCCTATTGTTCCTATGGGAGCTATATGATATAGACGTCCGATCGGCACGCGCTTTTACCCTGATCAAGGTACGCACAAAAAAATACGATTTGGAAAGTTTCATGGGAATAGCTTATATTTTGCGCGAAATATCCTGAAAAACGTCAAATTTTGACCGATTTCACCCTATTGTTCCTATGGGAGCTATAAGATATAGACGTCCGATCGGCACGCGCTTTTACCCTGATCAAGGTATGCGTAAAAGAATAAGATTCATGTCAAAAGCTTTTACACTGAGCGAAATATCTTCATTTTGTGAAAGCTATATCCGATTGTTCCTATGGGAGCTATAGGATATAGACGTCCGATCGGGTCGGCTTTCAAACTTGATCTGCGTACACATGTTTTAGGACGACTGTGAAAGTTTCAAGGCGCTAGCTTTTAAACTGAGCTCGCAAACGGTATTGAAACAGACGGACAGACGGACAGACGGACAGACGGTCAGACGGACAGACGGACAGACGGACAGACGGACAGACGGACAGACGGACATGGCTATATCGACTCCCCTATTGATCCTGATCAAGAATATATATACTTTATGGGGTCGGAAACGTCTCCTTCACTGCGTTACAAACTTCTGACCAAAATTATAATACCCTCTGCAAGGGTATAAAAAGTCAAAAGAATACAATCTAATAGGTATTAATTTACTCTGTGAATTTATACCTGTCATTAGATGGCAAGCTATGGTATAATTAAATGGAGCACTTAAATTAAAGTTATTTTGTTTTGTAAAAGAATAATTTGCTAACTGGAATAATTGCTGAATATTTTTAATAATACACTTATTTATTTGTAAAGAAACCTTACAACCTATTTATTAAAATTCACCTTGCGACTTGACTCCTGTGGAAGTCTTTAGTTTTTTTAACAAACGGTTCAGCATTTTGAAGTTCAGTTGGATTTTTTGAAAAATATCTTCTTCCTTTTAAAGTATCCCGTTTGAATTGTTTTATATATTTTTGTATTTTAATTAGTTTATAAAATTTCTGAACTCCGTATGACCTTCACATGGCTGCAGGAACTTTGGAACTGCAAGTATCGGTCGTTAAGTCAGCTTTCTAAATAAATTCCAAGCTAACTTGTTCGTGTGCAAAGTGCCTAGAAACCGCAGTGAATTCTTAATCAACCTTTTTCCAAACTCGCTTCGGTTAGCCACAAACATTGTTTAGATAGTAATGTGGATGTGGGATTCCGAATATAATCCAGAAACATCGAATTGAATGCAAATGGAGTGTACGGTTCACACGATTTGATTTTAAAATTGGCTGGTTCGTCGAATTCAAATCGTGTCTAATACACAAAGCGTGCCACCAGGGAATACGTCATTTTATTATTTTCATAATTAGCAACAGCGGAGGTCTGTCGCCGATGGGAATTTTTAAATAAGCCACGTTTGTAGTTCACAAATTAATGCTAATTAACTGGAGCGAAATAATGTGACATATAAAGCCGTAACAAAATGAATAATGCCAGAAAATCTCTGGACTTATTTCAGTTGCTAATTGAACAAAACTCATGGTTTTTCATTGGAGGCAGGTGCTATTTAAATAATAAAAGAGGATAGATGAATTGGAAGGGAAATGTCAAGGGAAAATATGGAAAAGCGAAAGTTAAGTACGAGTTTTGTTACCTACTTAGTTTTAACCAGGTTTTTGATTATATAATGGAGCAAAACGTGTGGTTTCAGTTCAGGTTTCCCACATAACAACTATTGTAATTTAAGCCAGCGTACAATAGTATATTTAGCCTTTTCACCCTGCCGGCAAGTTCTACTCCCCAAGCGGTTAACATTGAATATAAAATGAATCGAATTCATTGTACAAACAACTGAATATATGGCTTCCCTCCATGAGTTGTTTTTCTCAAATCCCGCTTTCCCCGTGCACCCCATTGCAAATACCTATGCATACTCGTACTCGTTCGTATATGTAAATATATAGCGTGCGGGGCAATTCACAATTTGATCACCCGGTCGGGAAGCCAGGAGAAAGAGCAATTTAAATTTGATTCGCTGCTGTTCGGGACATTTATGATTAAAGCTCAGGCGCTGATCTCATCCACGCGTGTCAAATGTTCATTGCTCTAATTCAATTCAGCTTAGTTGAGTGAGAAATAATTTAACTAAGGTTATGTTTGGCCAAACTTTGATTGCTCGACAGAAAGTTCTAGGAAACCATTCATAACCTTTTCACATGGTCAAGTTCCAGGCCGGTTTATTGGGGTTCGAGGTGCTTTTTTCTGGGTCACATTAGGTTCCCAGGGTAATCGCCTAGAGAAACTGACCTTAGCCATCAAGTACTTGCTTAGTTTTATATTTATCTTTTTTTTCGACCTGGGGAATATTTTGAGATTAGTCTACAAAAGACTGATTAACTTCAATTAGTAAACTGGTGCGAGACGGAAAGATTTCCGTAAAAATTTGCATAAAAAATTAAGGAATTTTTTGGAAAACTAAACCAGTTTCAGTCGGTGGTCTAAACTGACCCACCTCAATGTAATTGGAACAGGTGTCCATCACTAGAGGCTAGTTTAAAGCAGTTATCCTGATAAAAAGGTAGCTTTCTCTTTTTGAAACACGTTCCTGAATTCACTCTCTTCAAAGAAAATAACCTCTTGAAATTTTTTTTTATAATTTGTAGTTTTTATTGATTTATACATATATAATTTAAATTAAACATTAATATATAATATATATGATATATAACATTGTATAAATTGAAAATTTTCTTGGTACCTGCAAGCAAATTTTTTCACAAATCAATACATCTTTTGATCAATTACTTAATGAACTAATGTTAAATGGTTTTATAATATTTCCGTCTTTCCTCTTGCACAGTTGAGCCTGAACACCAAATAACCTAATAATATTTCTTGTTTGTCTTAACAAAATGTAACTTGGCATAAACTTTTGAAACATTTCAACTTTTACATACATATAATATAGCAATATTACGATTAATTTTGACACTTGCTCGGACTGTGCAATGCTCAGTTGGTATTACAATAAATATATGGGAATGTCTAATATAGACAAGGATACAATAAAAATCGGGGTCCAAAGTATACGCAGCTACACATATATCGAAAAAATAATATTAGTTATAAATCTTAATTGTCGCCAATGAAGCATTTTCGTTTGTTATAGTTTTCATTATTTCTTGTTTATATGGTATACCTGTAACTGATCCAATTAGGTCAAAAAAAGAGCAAAGAAAAAACAAAAATGTTGCTTAACAATTTTCTACTGCAATTTACTCAGTCTCGTACGCAAAATAGAAAATTCAGTTTTTCTGCTATTTTTGCTTCCCTTGTTGTGTGTTTTTTGTATATATCTTTTTTTTAAGCTTTTTTCGCGTTGTTTTTTTGTTTGCCTAAGGTCAAAAAAATGCGTTGGTCAAGCGGGCAGGTTCTCGTTATTTGATTTTCTCATCGTGTCGGTAAACAAATGACTGTTAATAGTTGTACATAACTGCGAAGTTGGTGTAAAAACGAAATGGTAGATAATCATCGGTAAAGGGAATTGTAAATTGGTATCAAGTTCAAGTTCTGGCTCTTGTAAATGGTAGTGTATTCGCGATGCGGAAATGCTGAGGCAACCATTTTGAAAATAAAAGGGTACAGTTGCCTTGCATTTTCGTAGCTGCCGATGCTGTCTCGCTCTCTCTCTCGCGCAATCTTCGTCTTTAACAGCTTTTTCTCCTTTCTCCTCGGGTTTTTCTTTGTTTTTGCTGTTACTTTTTCATGTTTTTTCCATTCATCTGGTTACTTTTTGTTACTTTTGTAGTATATATGGCATTTCGCGAATGTCTGTGGGAATCGTCTGTAGTAGAGTCGTCCCGCTCCCTCTCACACCTTGCAGCTCTGCTGGACGGCAAGGACGGAGGACTGGCTGTGATTGTGGGCGTGCTCCAGCTCGTGCTCGTGCTCGTGCAGGTCCTCCTCGTCCTCGCAGATGCTGTCATGGTGCTTTCGCTGCTCCCGCTTGCGCATGTAGTTGATGAGGGGCCGCTTCTTGTGCTCCTTGCAGAACGGACAGTCCTTGCGCATCTGCTTCTCGGACTTTGTCTGCTTGCATTTTTCTGTAATCAAAAAGGGGATGCGTCACCGGTTAGTGAAGGTCGGCACTGTTTGATTGGCCTCGTCTGTAGCTTCCTCTCTTTTTTTTGGCCTACGTGCGTGCCCACTTGAACGCCCTTCTGGGCTGCCAAGCAGCTGATTTGCCTACGTGACGTCGCCGGGTTTGCGTTCACGACGTCACGTCGCCATCTATGATCCCCCCTGCCTTGCTTTTCCCGTTATTTGATATGTGACCCTGTGACACAAACAGCTATGATCAAAATAATAATGCTTATAAGGAAACAATTTTTTTTTAAATTTTTTGTTTGTTTTTTTTTTATTAAATGCTAGCAAATACCACTATTATTTTGAATGTAGTTGCCTGGATGACCTGCCTCTGTTGATTAACCTATTGCTTTGATTGCTCAATTGACCATGTTAAATGCTAAACGGTTATTATTGATTAAAGCCCAGCCGATCCATGTGGAAAGGTTCTATTCATAGCCGCTGATAAGCGACCTTGCATAATCTAAATGTATTCCACACGGGAAAAAAAATGTTGACTTATTGCTTAGCTATTTTGTATTTCCAAATACACAATGGTGATATAAAATATAGATTTAATGTGAAGTCCAAAAATGATCTAATTGTTTATCTTGCATAACGGGTGATCTTTTTGTTCTGCGCTTTAAGTTCCTCCATTTGGTATAAAAATATATATTTTATTTCTGTGCACCTGATAATGCAGTACTCATAATTAGTCACTATATGACACGGATATAAGCAAAAACAAAGGTTTACCAATCGCACACCTCGGTTTTGTTATTGCGCTTTAATTTTGGCACACAAACACCATGAAGCCCTGCTTTATTTGTCTTCCCCTAAAGAGAATCCATTGTCCGACCACCTGCTCAACTTTTGTGAGCCATTTCTGGAAGTACAGTCAAGTTTTGATGTGTGTTCATTCGATTATCGCAAGACAGTCGAATGCAGAGTATCTTTTAATGGACTCAACTGACCTCGATAAGGCCGAGTTTAATCACCTTTAAAATAGCCACACAATGTATGGGTCTTTTTGTTGTCTTTTACGATTTTTCACGAGTTACGATACCTATCTTAGTTGCGCTTTAACTTTGAAATGCCGGAAATTTTCGACTGGTTTTTAGCTGCTAAATGCAATAAAGCGCCAATATCTTATAGCACGTGGATTTAAGCCGTAGATATATGTGTATGTAAACAGATTGTAAAAGGGGGGTTGGTGTAGTTGATAAGGCGAGCTGTGCGCCAAGAAACTTTAGACACCCTGTGTTTGTGCGCAAAAAATTAAGGCGTGTTCCGTCACACACACACATACACATGCGGCCAAGAAATCAGGCTGGCTATTTATAAATTCTTGCAAAAACAACAAACAACACACGCAATTCACAAATACCATAAAGGAACGTGCTCTGGTTTTATCTCTATTTTTTCCCCAGTGCATTTGAGGGTACAATGCCGAAAAGCTCAGTGCTCTATAGGTTATCGCCTTTTTAGGGACCCATCTTTCCCCCACTCTTCAATTTACCTTGCACTCGACTGTAGCAATCCTTGACCGCATGCGGGGAATTGGTGGACTCCAGGGTTCCGTAGGGAAACTGCTCGTAATCCCGGTAATATCCGCTGCGCATGGACCCGCCATATGCCATCGTAGTATCGCTGATGCAGAATCCCCAAACATCCATGATTGTAGCTTTTTTTTCTTCTTTATTTTTTAAGGAACGTTGCAGTAATCGCAGTGGGATGTGGGTGTGTTTTTTCTGCTCTCTTTTTGCGCGCGTTGTGCGAGGTCGTTTCACTTTGTCTCTCGGTTTTCTCAAGCGTCGTCCAATGAACTCTCTGTTTGAATCACTTTATTCTTCTTTCAAATAACGCGTATTTTTGTGTATTTTATTTTTTGTGTACCAAGTCAAGGTACCTTAATGCAGTAGCTTTTCTTTATTTCTCTCTAGTCTCACCGAATTTCGATGTACTCTGGTGGAAGTCTCTCATGAAACTGAAAGCCGAACACTAGAATTACTGCATTTTTGTAGCCCTCGTGCGTTGGCGATGCTTCGGCTTGTTTTGCTGCCGACTTCGGGTCTCCACTATACTGACTGCTGCTGTGTGCCTACGTGTGGATGTGTGAGGACAGTCGGGGGGAAAATGATAGGAACTTCATTGAAAAATATACTTTAATTAAAAAATGGTGTATTAACATCTACAGAGGTATAAAAACCTTTAAAAAATATTTTTCTTTTTTGGTTTTATACTTCTTGAATACCAAATTTCACTTCATATTTGATCCTGTATTTTTTTGTTATTCGGTTAGAAACTTTTTCTAAACTTTTAAGAATCGTGTTCATATTGTTTTTCCCGCGATTGTAGTATTGTATGTGCCTGTTTATAAACACGTATGTATGGCATTGTGTTTTGTTGTGTTTTCGCGTCTCGTGCTTTTGTTGAAGCTTCACCTTCCACCCGAACCCGCCCCCTCGAGTGCTCTCACAGTGGTTACAGCTCTCACATGAGGCACAGTGGGACGCATCCCTCGAAATCACTATTGTTTTACATGAAACCATTTTCCCAATGATTCACCCCGCGTTAGTTTGATAATTTTTAATAAATGTTAATTAACTGGGGGCATGAAAAATACTCTTGGAAGTTTTTCTTATTAGCGACCAATTGCTAATGCCGAAAAGATGACGAAAAACAGTAGTCATGAGAGTGATCTGACGGATGTTCGCCGGCTGATCATCCAGAGGATTGGATGGATACTGGATATATCTTTATAAGGTTCGCTAATGACAGTCTAGACTGCAGGTCGACCATGCCATGATTTAGCCTCATTTATCAAAAGAAATTCGGTTGCCAAGGGGTTTTAAAATCGTTTTGAGTGAAAAGATTGTGGGCCTGTTTTATTAACTTTCCATTGACAAAGATGGACATGTTTTTTGTATATGTGACTATTGGAAGGCTTAATAACCCCAAAAAATCTAAAACCGCAAGCTGCATTTTTTTTCAGTGGTCAGAGGTTAAATGTTTTCGTACATGTTCGTAAATTTTGCGTAAACCTAGTGTTAATAAGTGGTCTACGTCATTTTAGCCGGTTCTGATCAAGGTTTTTGTTGTTTTTCTTTATAAAACGTACCGCCGTTATTAGCGGCTTTCTGCGGTTTAAGTTTGGTACACGCGAATTTTTGGTAATTTGTTGGGGAGATCGTGACCGATTTCTAAAGGTGGGAGGACGTTCAAGAGCTATATTTAGAGAAAAATATTTTTTATATGGTACGCTTTGGTACGTGAATGACTAACCGCGATTCCCTCCATTGATTGAATTAATTTGCGGTTCATGGACCCAGTTTCAGACAATCAGACGACGGGGACAGGCCCCTTTAAGGTCGTAAGTTATAGTATTTTTTTTAATTTGATTTCGTTGCTATTTGTACCACTGTGCACGCCTACGCCGCTGCTGCTGCGCAGTTTGTGTAATCAACACTCCTCTTTCCGCGTTCCCTCTTTCTTTGCCCACGGTGCTGACCTGCTTAATCAAACAAGTGTCACTTACGCACACTGCCAAGAATGTGTACTAAATAGTTAATACAGAGCTTTGTATATTTAAATACATGTGTGCATTGTACACAGAAAAAAATTCCTCAAGAACCGTGGTGTAAGTAGGTTAGAACCATGAGTCCGAGTTCGAGTCCTGTTGCTTAAAAAAATTGTTATGAAATTTATAATATCGTTCTGTCTGTCTGTGCATTTTATTTTATTTTGTTTTATCTTTTATCTTTCTGTGTAAATGAATGCAAATGTATTTTGTTTGCACAACAACTTGTCTATTTCCCTCTCTTTCCGCGGACTGCAGTTTCTGATAAGTTGGACGATAATGATCATCAGTAGGTGCCTTTGTCACGGCAGTTTTACGCAAACAGTTGGGCGTTGTCTTATCATTTCGCCCGTCCTTATCGCACCAAGTCCTCTATCGAAAACACATACTCGAAGGTTTAGATTGTCTATTTTCCATTCCTTGAGATTTTCACGCATCTGTTGTGAGTGCTTTTGAGTACTTTTACAGTCACCATGGGCCCAATGTTTACCGATCGTTAATCATCGTACCTCTCACATAATATAAAGGGGTATATTGCTTCCTAGAACGTTTTTATATACTTCGTCGAATAATATCTGTCTTATCAATATCAATATGACTTACGGCACTCTATAAGGGAATATTTTAAAGCTAGACCAGCTTTTTAATTTTCCTGATAATAGAGTTCGAAAGTATATTTATTTTATTAAGAATCAATATTTTATTCAGACCATATTTCATGTCAAAGCATGCTTATCACATTGAAATGAAATGGACCATTTTAAATAACAATTTTATGTGAAAGAACATTGAGATTATACAAAAGCAATTAAATCTTAAAAACTTAAAAAAAAAAAAAAAAAATGTTGAATGTATTATTCGCGTGTCCAGAATGCATCAGATTGTAATATAAATACGGTTTCATGCATAACTCCATTTTTTCCAATTTTTCGAACTTTGAGTTGAGTTTTGGGTACCTATTGGCTTACATTTTTTTACTACCTATTATATTTACTTGAATGAATGATTAATCCATTTGTTTTTCCTCTGTTCCAAATATATTTAAAAAAAATATTTATACCTTTGAGTAACACTGAATAAGCGAAAAGTGAGAAAGTCCAGCCCATTTGCCATATTGACCCTGCCAATAAATAACCTGATTTACCCTAGAGATTAACATCAAAACAATAAAATTACTCATCCAATCCCAATGATGCATCACAGAGCTCCAAATATAACTGTTTCCGTCTCCTCATTCCAGGAAAATCTCGGCGGGAACTCGAAGACAGTCATGTTGGCCACCATATCACCGGCTAGCCTTCATGCGGATGAGACCCTGGCCACTTTGCGGTACGCCTGCAAGGCGCGTTCCATTGTCAACCGGGTGAAGGTGAACGAATCGCCGCACGACAAGATCATCCGGGATCTGCGCGCCGAAGTGGATCGCTTGAAGTCCCTGAGGAACGAATATGAACGCCAGCGACGTTTATCCGGCAACAATAGCAATCCAGTGCCACGTAAGATCATTATCGAGACCTCGGTGGATGAGACGGAGGTGGAGGCACTGCGTCAGCAGCTGGCCGAACGGGAAAGGGAGCTGAGTCGGGCGCAGAAGTCCTGGATGGAGAAGCTCAAGGAGGCGGAGGATCAGCGAAAGTCGGAGCTGCGCGTCCTAAAACGCCGCGGATTGGCTCTCGAACTAACCGCCGAGCAGAAGCAGGCCTGCCTGGTCAATCTCACCGCCGATCCTATTCTGAGTGGCACCTTATTCTACCTGCTGCCGCAGGGACTCGTGCGCATCGGACGTGGTCGTCTGCCAGGAGGAGGTGGTAACTCCCAGCCGGATATTGTACTGGATGGTCCGCTGGTTGCCTTGCAGCACTGCAGCATCGAGCACGAACGCGGTGGCAAGTTGTTTGTGATCCCCGGCAGCGAGGATTTCGAAACGTATGTGAATGGCGAACTCCTGCAAGATCGTCGGCAGTTATTCCATGGCGACCGGCTGGTCATCGGTGGCTCGCACTATTTCCGCATCTCCAATCCGTTCTGCTCGCAAAGGGGGAAGTCTGAACATCCCGTGGACTTTCAGCTGGCCCACCAGGAGATCCTGCAGAAGCAGGAGCAGCAATTGCGCTCGGAATTGGAGGCGGAAAAGTTGGCTGCCCTTACGCGAATCGAACAGGAGCGGGCGCAGCATGCGAGGGACTTTGAGGAGCGGCTGCAGTGCCTCGAACTGGAGCAGTTCAAGTACAAGTGCAACAGCGAGATGCTGGAGACAGAGCGGCAAGCTTTAGCCCGGCAACAGGAACATACTCCTCTGAGAAACGAAGATGCCACATCGACTCCGGCCCAGAAATCCACCATTCTAGAGGACATCCAACGCATCATGCTGAATCCCTCGGAGGAGAGCCTGCACAAGACGCAGCTGATGGTCAAGGAGGCCACTCAACGCTGTCGCCAGTTGGATTTACCATTGGAATTCCGGCAAACCCAGACGCCCGATGAGTTTGGACTGCTGCGCACTGTAATCCTAATCTTAGATAAGCAGCATGGCTTGAAAGCCGAGTGGCCCACCGCCCGGTTGGGCGTGTGGTTGGATTTGGTGAGGGATAAGGCGGAGCAGCAGGAGGCACTGAATGCTAGGAACATTTTCCAGAGCGTTGAGGTTGACTGGGAGCCACTGGATGCGGATCTCAATGAGACACTAAGCGACACCCACAACTCCAGTCGCATTGCTCTGAATCTGAGTGCCATGAAGGATGTGCTGTTGAATAAGCCGCTGAAAAGACTGCTCAATGTTTCTAATTGCAGCAATACTCCTTCACCCGGCAGCCAACTAATGCAGTACACCAAGCGCCTGCTGACCTACGAAGCCGAAGAGACGCCGGGTGGCCAGAGTGGCTTCAACACGCTGGTCCAACAGGAGCTGCTGACAATGCAACGAGCCGCCCAGCGACTGCGGCGGCACTGCGAGAGTGCCCTAAACGAGCGGGAAAACCAACAGGACAACGGCGTACTGGCCGTCAGCCTGCAGGAGGCTCTGGCCCGCATGGACACCGTGCTCAATGGGATGCACACTTCGTTGGCCCGGGCGGAGGCCACTGCGAGTGTCACCTCGCCGACGAAGACACCGAAGGCTGTGCGCTTTCTTATCGATTGACGACAATTAGTTCGCACCTTGGACTAGATTTTAAGCTGCAATGTGCTTTGTGTTTGTTTTTATGTTTTTAAATATATATATATTCTGTATATTGGTTTTTAAAAATAAAATATTGATAGCACCAACAAGGAAAAAGATAAAGATTTTTTTAAAACCAATTTTGTGCGTTAGTGTGAGCTTTAAAAAACATTTTATCACATAATTCTCAATATAAACTTAACTGGCGTTGCTATCTGACATTGTTTGTAGATAACTGATTTTTCTGGCTTTTAAAAAACTATTAACTTCAATATCACTGGCTTTATACCATTGGCCTTTACAAAAGCTTATCAAGGGTTTTTAACAACTTTTCTGTATCCAATTATACATTATTTGCGGCATACTTGTAAATAGTTGGCGTTGTGATAAAATTCAAATATGGGTTTATAAAAATATAAAAAGTACCACGAGCGTAAATAATCGTTATTTAAGATTTTAATTTTAAAATGACTACTGTGATATTTTGTTTTAAACGTCAAAAATAACGTTCTTTTTACTCTTGTCCAAAAACAACAAATCTGGGAAGCAAATTAACTATTATTTGTTCATGTGCATACAAACCTGTTAAATTGTTGATTAAAACTTGTACAAGTCTCAGTCGCCCTTTAAAAATAAAAATCTCAAATAACGATTATTTACAATACCTGATTTAAACCTATATAAATTATTTTTACTTCTGATCCTAAGTTCCTTTTAATCCCTTTTTCAAGTGGAATTATTTTCTTGATTCTCAGCCACTCGCGCCTGTAACTTTGTGTTTAGCTCCACCACCCAATCGCAGAACTGCCCGTCCTTGAGGTTTACAAAGTCGGCCAGGAATACATTTACTGTAGGATCCTCTTTAGACTCGAAGGGGCCCGGAATCTGCTCCTGAATCCACGGCTGGAGCTTCTTGTCCACCCGCTTGGCTGTGCTTTTCAGGGTGAAGAAGAGCCGGAAGGCAATGTAGCGACCAGTGGGCGTGATGAGGCACTGGGAAACGTATCCCTGTTGGGGTTGTCGCGACAATAGAGAGTCCTCCAGAAAGGATTGCAGCTGCTTGACACTCGCTTTATTTGGCCATGGTGTGGGCCAAGTGTAACTGGGCCAGAAACGCAATGGCAAGGGAATGGGACACCGCCTGTAGATGATCACCAGGTTGCGTTGAAGCTCCCGGCAGCGATTCAGAGTGCAATCCTTGAGAGAACCATCGGCGGTGGAGTAAAGTCGGTGGCCGAAGAATTGGATTAGGTCTTTATGTAGCTGCTGATGATGGGCCACCGACAAAGCGTAGAAATGCTGCAGGTCCAGGACGACCAACTCCTCGGGATGCGAGTCCACGAACTGACGAATCTCCTCAAGTGGCTCGAAAATCTCCATGGCAAAAAGGCCATGGCAGTAGTAGAACTTCTCCTCCCTCTGGGCAATCCTCAGATCGAAGTAGCGCACTCCCAACTGCAGTTGCTCCAGAGTTCCGGAGCTTTGCGTCTTGCTCCAACGGCGGACGAAGCAGGGAAAGAAGCGGTGCCATCGCCGGATGGCTGGTTCCGCATCGGGCGATAGTTTGGACTTGCTATTAATGCCATAAGTCATTGAGTTGTGGGAACCTATACTAAATGCGAGACGCCTTAATTAATTCCATTAGCGGGGTGATCTCATCCGTACCTGGAATAGCCAGATTGATGATGGACAGGTCGCGCAGTTCACTCGGGAGATCCCGCATCCAGTGCTCCTTGGACATGGTGCTCGGATTTCTTTATAAAGCACTTTATAAACACTGATGATAAAGCTGAATACCGTTAAGGCGATGTTGATACCACGGCTGGCCATAAATAATCCAGAGGCTTCCAAAAGGGGGATTTTGTATTGCGAAGTATTTTTTGTAGGGCTGCATTTATCAAATACCCAGTGAACACAAACAGCTGATTTGAGCCCGCCAAAAAGTAATAATTTAAAAATAAACAACAAATACAGTCGATCCCCTGTAATGTGACTAAGAATAAGAATAAGAGTAATGTATCATATTTCCAGGTTAAACCGAGGATTTTAATTAGGGGGAGGTCAAAATAGTCTTAAAAAAGGGGCAAAAAAAAATTATTTTAGAACACATAATTTTGTTACTTATAATAATAATCGTCTAGGATTTTATAAAAATAATTAATGGAATGATACATTTTCGAATTTACTATTTAGTTTTTTTTTTAGCTAATTTTTTTGAGGGGTTAAAAAAAAACATATTTTTAAATATAACCCGAAGAAAATATAAAAATCGTAGTATGCAGATAGTTCATAAAATTCATTAGAGTTGTCTTAAATAAAGTTATATTTTTTTGGAAAACATTTGTAAGTTAGTTTAATTTATCAAAACGGGGGATTTAGAAACCCTCAAAAATGACGTCTGTAACACCGAAATCTGTCATTCGGGGGAATTTTGAAAATTTCAAAAATATCTTATTCTAAAACCAATCTTCAACAAAGAGGTTCCACTGTATTGCTCCACTATCAGCTGTTCAGTTGGCCGTTAGTGAATCACTTTCAGAATTTCGTGATTTTGGTTTATTATTGTTAAAGTTTCCCCCGGAGGATGTCGCGCGAGTGCGAGTTCCTGGTGGTCGGCGGAGGCATCGCTGGCGTCAGTTGCGCCGAGTCCCTGGCCATTTGCCGACCCACTGCCTCCATTCTCCTGCTCACGGAATCCAATATCGTGAAGAGTGTCATCAACTTGGTGCCGGTGGCTCGCTATCTGCACAAGTTCGATGTCCGGGAGCAGGATGTCTCCGAAATGGGAGCCACCATCGAGACGCTGGTGGATCAACTGGAGCACATCGAGAGCAGCGAGCACCGGATTCGCACCGCCAAGGGTGTGGTGATCAAGTATCGCTACCTGTGCCTCTGCACCGGCGGAGAACCCAAGCTGTTCTGCGGCCAGGTGCTGGATCCCTGCATCCTGGGCATTCGGGACACTGACTCTGTGCTGACATTGCAGCGCAAACTGGCCACGGCCAAGGATGTGCTGATCCTGGGCAATGGCGGCATTGCCAGTGAGCTGGCCTACGAGCTCAAGGATGTGAATGTCCATTGGGTGATCAAGGATGCCCACATCTCGGCCACCTTTGTGGATCCCGGAGCAGCGGAGTTCTTTCAACTGGCCAGGAGTGAAGTGGCGGATTCCTCGGAGGAGCCAACGGCTATTAAGCGCATGCGATACGATGAGATGCTGCCCAAGGAGCAGACTAACCAGCATGGAGCTGCTTTGGGTCCGGACTGGCATCGCACCTTTGATTTGAGTGGCTCGGCTGGAGGATCGGGCAAACGCCTGCCGAAGATCTACTACAAATGCCGCATTTACTCCACCCTGGAGATTCCCGATGATGCAGGCTACGAAGTCGAGTTGGAGCACGAGGATGGGAGTCGTGAGCAGCTGTCCGTGGACTTCATAGTTTCCGCCACTGGAGTCCGGCCGAAAGCCTACTACTCCAGCGATACCAGGCTAAAGGTTTCCGATGACGGCGGCATTCTCGTGGACGAAATGATGCGTACCAATCTGGTGGATGTCTATGCAGCCGGTGATGTCTGCACGGCCAACTGGCCAGAGGCGATGCACTGGTTCCAGATGCGCCTGTGGACGCAGGCCCGTCAAATGGGCTCGATGGCGGGCAAAAGCATGGCTGCCGCCAGCGAGGGTGAAACGGTCTACCAGGACTTTTGCTTCGAGCTCTTCGGCCATGTAACCAAGCTATTTGGCTATCCCGTCGTCCTGCTGGGGCGTTTCAATGGCCAGGACTTGGGCCAGGACTACGAGATCCTGGTGCGTTGCACCCGCAACAAGGAGTACATCAAGTTTGTGCTGCAGAGGGGCCGACTACGCGGTGCCATGCTCATCGGCGACACCGATCTGGCCGAAACATGCGAGAACCTCATTCTGAACGGCATCGATCTGGAGCCCTATGGCGATGATATACTTAATCCCGACATTGACATCGAAGACTATTTTGATTAGTTTATTACGAACTAGAGCTAGGTATTAAAAAGGTTTAGAATAATGCTAGGATTGGCTTGTTCCTGGATTGGGTGCTGCTTTCTTGGGCCGCTGTCATTTGAGCTTGCCCTCGGTGCCTGTGAAATATGGGTTAAATATCTATTTTGATCTTAAATTGCATTATTAAGCATACTCACCCACATACTTGATCTCATCGAAGGCCTTGCGCGCCTTCTTGAGCTCCTCGTTCATGGTCAAGAGGTCCTTGACCCTGGCATACTTGCGTTGATCCTTGCGCACCAGGAAGATAATGTCCTCCACTTGAACGCGACCTGTGCGACCGATCTCCATGGCCCGGTGGGTGGTCTCGGCTATATACTCGATGACCAGGTCTTCCAGCAGATCCACGGTTTCCGTGTAGGGATTCTTGTCGTCCCCGAAACCGAACATCATGCAGCGCAGCTCCTTGCTAAAGAGGCGCTTTCTTCCTGAATTGGTGGCCACAAACTGGTCATCCTCCGCATCGTCATCAAAGTTGAACTAGAAAAGTTAAAAACTATTAATGGCTGTCTTAAAACTATGCTTTTCTGCTATAATCTTACATCCCCGCCTTCAAAATTCTCCTCTGGCATGCTATTCGAGGCCATTTTTCTTTAGTTTTTATTAAATTTCTATTAATTGTTGTGTTTACACGAAATGCACCGCTCTGAATGAGTACTTTAAACATCTGTTGGCATCGATACTCACAGCAGTGCTGACAGCTTTCGATTGGGAAAAGAAGCTAGTAGCAAAGGCTAGCCAGAAATAGCTAGAAAACATAATTTTTTTGGTTTTTTAGACTTTTTAATAATAGGGGGATTCCCTAAACTGTTGAATTGCTGAATTGTTGAAAATTCAACAAAAAATTTCAGCAATTAAGGGAACGACCCAAAATGGTTCCTGTTGAATTTTCAAACAGCTGTTATTTGTTGAAAAATTTCACGGAACTTAAAGCATGTAAAATTTGATTTATTATTGCTAGTTACTGTCTAAAAGTGTTACCAAGGTGAAAAGAACCACAAATATGCTTTCTAAGTTGATTTTAAAGTAAATAATGCGTACTGGTGATACTTAAATGTTACTGAGTTGCCACGACTTTTAAAAAAAGGCGACAACTCTGGCTTTTCAGCAATTCAACAAAATTTTCAACAGCCCCGAGTCTGTTGAATTGCTGCAATTTCTGAAAGTTGACTTTGTATGGAACAGCTGATTAACAGCTGACCAAAATTCAACAATTCAGTAATTCAACAGTTTAGGGAATCCCCCTAATAATTAAACATGAATTTTACTTAAAATTAATTTTTCTTCTTTATGTTTAATAAAAAATAATATTTTAGTTACGCTATAGAAAATATATACATTTTACTAAAAAGCTACAAAACAGCTGAAAATATAATAGCCAGATTAGTCACGGTTGCCCTGGTCGATAACATCACCATCAATCGTTATCGAAGCCACAACCTGCACACACATTTCAAAAATCTCTTCGAACGTCCAATACATTTTACTAAATAAAGAAAAATGGATGTGTTCACCTTTGAGAAGTCGTATTTAGACCGCATTAAGGAAGCGGAGGAGGTGCTCTCCTGGGAGGGAGCCATAATGCCCGCCTGCAAGGTGCGATCCGAGTGGCGATCCTACGTAGAACTGAAGATTGAGCCTGCAGGTAAGCCACCTAACACCCACACTCATGCAAACAAAACTACATATATCACACATACAGGATGGCAGGCGATTTGGAAAATACCGCGCGTTATTTGCGAGGATCTGAAAATTCGCTATCCCACCATCGTTTACGGCTACGTGGAGCAGGTGATCTTTGAGGAGCTGAAGGCGGTCTTTGTGGTCACCGCCGTGCAGGACAACGATGTCCATTTGCCGGAGAGCAACGAGGTCAACCTGGTGGAGCTGTGGCCCACGGTGCAGCAGGAGAACTCCGCCTTGAATGTGGACTACACGGCGGAATGCATCGATCGGCTGAGGTTCTTCTTCACCCACGTCTGGATGCCCTGGGACAAGGACTACGACGATGATCGCGACTGGATGCAGCAGCATTTGGAGGCTCGCATCCAGTTGATCTGCGATCTCAGCAAGAATCGCCTGCCCCGCCCACTGGCCCTGCACATGCGCACCCTGCTCACGGAGGCCAGGTACATTCAGCAGCGCCTGGACTTCCTCGAACTCGATCTCAGCGATGCCGAGAGTGATGATGAGGCAGTGGAACTGGATGAAAATGCAGCGGAGCCGGCTAGGAAGCAGCCCAAAACAGGCAGTGCCAATGGCAGCTTAAATGTCTCCAGTCGCCCGGTTACGGATCTGATGTGCCTGCACCTGCGCATGGCCATCATACGGAGCGAGTTCGAGATTCTCGAGAATCCCGAAATGAGGCGGGCCTACAGTGAACTGCAGGCGAGCAGCTTGAAGAGGATTCGCAGCTCGTCGGGGAGAACCAGGCAGATGGAGGAGCTCCTGGCGGAGCGCACGCCCATTAGCCATGTGGTCAGCGTGCCGGGGAAACTGCAGGAGCAGTTGGAACTTCTAAAATTAGCCCAAGCGCAGGTGAATCCGGAAGCGCAGGTGCAGTTATCCAATACCCTGCAGGATGTGCTAAGCATCTGCCAGAGCAACGATCATATACTGCTCTCTCCCGGTGAGCACACCATCAAGTTTTTGGAGCACCTCAACGACAGCGGCAGCATGAGTGGCCTCATCCAGCCGGAAAATATATTATCTCCTGATGCAGATCTTGCCCAGCTGCCAGTGGTGTGCTCCAGTGATGAGGATAGCACTCTGCTGGTCATCGATGGCGACTACAGCCTGTCTCAGCTCGTTCTAGATTGCCGTCACGTCCGGCGGGGCATTCTGCTGCGCAACGGCACCTTGACGATGCGAGGATGTCGCCTGTTGGGCGATGGCAGCTCCAGCACCCAGGAGGGAATCGTCTGCCTGCCCGGCGCCAGTTTAGAACTCAAAAGTTGCATTATCGAGAACTTTGCCGTGGGCATTTCAATGCGATCGCAATCTAGCGCTGAACTAGGAAGTGTGCAGCTCAAAAACTGCAAGACGGGACTGGAGTTGCTGGACAAAACGGCCTCGGTTAATCTGCAGGGTAGTAAGTGTAGATTCGACAGCTGTAGTTTAGGAGTCCTGGCAGATGGCTTTGCCTTGGGGGATATAAGAACAGAAAAGACCGTGATCTTAAACAAATTCAGCGAACTGCAGCGGTAAGCTTGTAAATCTGGGAAATTCTCTAAATAAATCCTGAATCTCAAATACTTTTACTTTCAGTTACAACGAGGACAACTTGCTTGGCAATTGCACATTCAACGAATGCACGAAAAATATCCGCATTTTTAATGAATCCGAACAGCTGCTGGCTCAGCGCGCCCATCAGCGACTCCTGCAGGAGGAACTCGGGGGCGAGAACAAGGAGAACATTCAAATGGCCTAGGGATATTATACGCGCTTAAACAGTTACATCAGTTAACCCTTTAATAAGCAACTACTTGATTAATAAATTTAAATTAGCGATAACCGATCAACTTTATTGATTATAATCAATAAAATATAAGGAAAAGTGCCTTGCTTCCTTTCCTTCAAGCTTTGTATTTTTAAAAATTGCTATTTTGCATTTCGATATGTCTAAATTTGTTGAGGTATTTATTTTTCATTTTGCCGATGAGATAATTTTTAGCCAATCTGCAAAATGTAAAGTCTATATCTTAGCCATTGGTATTAAGGCTTCATCAATATTTCAGGGAAGGAAAGTATCTTTAAATCCCCCCGATTTGATTATTTTCCGCCTTTCAATTGTAATATTTTGCAGGCATGAAACTGTTAAATAATCAAGGATCTACTTAAGACTGAACTAAAATGAGATAAAATATTAAACGTATATTTTAATTAGTACCGCTGACATTTGAGTTTGTTGATTGCAAAGTCGCATAAGGTAATTAAAGCAGATCTTTTGTTTTGCATTTAGGCTTAATCATCATTACAGCAGAGGTTAGCGAGATGTTGAAGTCGTACTCTTTATCCCAAGAACCCCAAAAAATTCCGTAATTCTGATTGTCAGGTTTTCTTCCGCTTTTATAATATTTTCCCATCAGCGAACTGTAATTTAAAGTATTCAAAGTTGTAATTCAATCTTAATTTAGTACGTACTGCATACCTTGTGGCACATTTTTTAAACCACCAACCGCCGTGATGATGCTTTGCGCAGTTTTCAGGATGTTGATCGGAATCATGGTCATATGTGCTAAACTTCATTTTCTCGTGGTAAGTTAGGGAGTCTCCTGCTGTACCGGAATATTTTCCAACCACCTTAAGCCTGTACGATTCCTTCTCACTTCCAACTAAGAATTTGTCGTATTTAGCGTAGCGAGTTTCTCCCTTTTTATTCTGAAGCTCAATGTATATTTCGCAATCGTTTGCCTTTGTAATGAGGTGAAGTTTTTCGAGCCCAATGAAAAACTCTCCTTTAATGTTTCCAAATCCTTTCTTATAAAGCTTCCAGTCGCGGTTAAAGTTTTCCGAGCCGTCGAAACGCCTCTGAAAAATCATCCAACCACACGACTTGCAGGTAGCACTAAATGTTTTTATTCCGGGCACCGTAATTGGGTAAATGCCATCTTTACCTTGCGTAGGACATCTGTCCTTTTGAGTGCACTTTAAAAGTTCGCTCTCCAGGACCTTTTTTGAGGTTACCAATGTCTTATGTTTTTCCCTTAGTTCATCACACTGATTTTCGGAGTCCTGGGTTTTTGTTCTTTTCCTTAAATTCTTGACAGGCTCTGCCAGGGAATTATGTAGATCCTCCAAAAGCAAATACGATAAGGAGAGCACTAGAATGCACGTCTTCATTTTCTAAAAGTTTTAACTGGTATCATATTTAGCTGCAGACTAAACTGAGCTCAAACGATTTTACCAATATTCTACTCAGTTCCGTTTAATCAAATTAAACTATAGTTCACGCTCTTATTAGGTTAATAAAGCTTTGGAACTGTTGATTTAAATACAACGGAGCAAGATCTACTAGCAGTAACGTCGATGATGATTTCTTAACTTTTCCTTAAATCATTACTAGAATCTGGATGATACTAATCAAGTATGTATATAAAAATCAAAATTTTTAAATATGTAGCTCTCGGTTTAACTACTACAAAAGTATTATAACAACTTTCACTAAAGAATTACCTCAATCAAAAGACTGTGTTACTTCTTTTACAATAATTTCTTTTTATAAACAACAAGGCGATGTGGGAATTAAGCTTTCTGCTTCTGTTCCTGTCCGTAGTACTCGCTGTAATCGTACTCCCTGAAGGGCACATCGTATGTTAGGTATCCGGAATCGCGAGCCTGCTGCACGGCCACCATCAGTCGCAAATGACTTTTCTGGCACAGACCCGTCTTCGAGTAGCTAAGCACATCACCGCTGTGCGGCGAGATGAACTGCTCCAGGAGTTCTGTGTTGCGGTAGTCCAGCACCAGGTACTCATCCCGGCAAATGGGACACGGGTTTCCGGTGGAGATCCTGTTCTGGCGGATGCACGTCTTGCGGGTTTTCCGTGGCGCATACATGCCCTTGTGGTTGCGACTGAAAATATGAAATATAGGTATTACAAAAAAAATATAATAATGATAAATTTAAGGTTTTAATATCTTCCTTTCGTGTTTTTCTAAAACTAGGGTTTACAATTTAAGCTCTAAATTTCCATACGTTTTCTAGGTTTAAAACCTACTTTTAGTTTAGGTTTTCTAGGTTTAAAACCTACTTTTAGCTTACGTTTTCTAGGTTTAAAACCTACTTTAAGGGCCGTTTTCTCGTCCGTTTGTTAAATTTAAAGTAGGGTTTAAACCTTGAAGTCGTATGGGAAATCAGAGATTTAAACCTACTTTAAATTTACCAGGCGGACGAAAAAACAGCCCTAAGTTTAATATTTTATTCAAAATAAAGATCCCAAACCTGGCATAATAAAACATGAACTAATTTAAACGGAGACTTCTTCAGAATTCTGTTGGGTACCGATATTGCGTCCCCACGATTAACATTAGATCAATAAAATGATCCGAAATCAGGGATAATGATGGGGATAGGGGACTTAAATCGAAGTCCCCTTAGTTTTTCATTGGACCTACCGATACTGCGTCCACACGAAATCCTCGCCGTAGGTTTGCTTGTAGGCGGCGCTCTTCAAGTAGCGCATCGACGTCTCCACGGGAATGGCCTTGCTGCGATCCTTGGGATCTGGTGCGGATCCACTGGAGCTATCCTCTCCGTCGCCCTCAGTGGATTCCTCATCCTTTGCCTCGCCCGCTTCCTCCGCCTTGCAACGAAGTGCACTGGCCGTGTGCAGAGCTCCCCGGCTGCTCCTCGTTATGTTTGCTAGTCCACTGTAAATTCCACGTGCAATGGGCAGCATTTTAATTGAATAAAACCAATTTGTTTTTTGGTAACGACGTAACAAGGTAAATTGCGTGCAGCCGGCGGATCAGCTGTTTTTCGGCAAGCTGGCAACGCTGCAAAAAAGCGATTATCGATACATCCAGGGGTGAAATATGCCCAAATGGGGTATTCCTCGACTAAAAATAAAATTCAAAAGAAGTAAAAAAAAATGTTTCTAGAAAATGTAATTTTCTTAAAATTTTTTTATTAATTTAATTAATTCATTTATAGTTAATTGAATACCCTTTTACCCCTTGATTATATTTTAGTTTGGAACCCGAAGCTATCGAATCTTCTGGTTAGCGGTTTTTAATTTAATTCCTTTGGATCAGCATTTGCACTCTATTAACTGTCAAAATTTTAATATTTTTAGCACCGAAAAAAGGATTGGAGCTATAAAATTGGATAAATAAAACGTGAGTAGTGCAACATGGCCGCAAAGCCCCGCAACGTAACGGTAAAGCCCGACAGCAACACACACACAGCACACACTCACACCCACACCCACACTCATGCGACTTCGGGGGCATGAATGAAAATGGCTGCGCCGTACGATTCGTTTTTGCCGTTAGTTTAGTTTCTTTCGGAATTTACTGGTGCAAAGTAGCGGTACTCTTACTGCAGCTCGTGCGAGCGCGTGTGTGTGTGTGTGCGAGAGTGCGCGGTGTGCGTGTGTGTGTGTGTACGGTGGGGCAGCCTTAAATCACGTGCATACAAAAAAAAGAAGCACGGCATTTATTTACCTTTGGATGCCACTATAAAAGCAAACAAAAAACAGGGGACGCCGACGCCCAGGTTCGCTGTAATTCAAAGTTAGTAAATGCTAAACAATCCCTTGCGTGCATGCACAAGTTTTTTGGTTCTAATCAATACTTGGCAGACGGTCATTTGGGTTTAATTGCCTCAAGAAATAGGCCCGCAAAACTCTGGAGAACCGAGAATAACAATAATAACACCTGCAAAAAGGTGAGTCAATCGCTACTCGGCGAGAACGGTTTTCGCTTGCCTTTAAAAATAGAGCCGCATTGAAATTTTCTTATCAATTGCAAAAAGTCGCCACAACAAATAAACGGGGCTATTAATACCGCTATGCCAACTACAAATATTTCAAAATGAGAGCGCAGTTGGCAGCCGAACAAAAGCTGTCGGTTTTGTCACCCGAAAAAAACAAAAAAAAAACACGAAAAGGGGTGGACCTCTTTTCGTACCCCTTACTCCTCCCTGCCTTTTGGAAAACGAAACCAACTTTCCCATTTTGGAGTGTCTTTCGCGCATTTCGTGTAATAAATTGTTATTTTCCTGCGGCGCCACCACGAAAATCGTGGTTACGTTGTGCCAAATTAGTACCTGTTGGCTGTGCGCCCTTTTTTATGCCCTTCGCGAGCAAACAAACAAATAATTAGCCCGTTGGGCAACTCGAAGTTCAGAGTTCTCTGTATTTTCAAGTTTTGTAATTTTTAATTAGCTTTATTCTAGACTCTAGATTCTAGCGGTTTTAAACCGCTCACCATAGAGCTGAAAAGTATGCTACGATTCGTTAAAGCACGCTCAATAGGGCGGTCCAAAAATGAAATCGAATTCTCACCCCTTCACATGGTAGATTAAAGTGGGAAAAAAATGTATGTGAAAACTAAAATTTTGTTTTCGGCATTTAGACCTTACTCTTTAATGTTTTCTTAAAAATTACGCATACGACACGTATAACAGTTCGAACAGGTCGATAAAAATCGTGCTTCAATTACTAGTCTTGTTAGTTAAATGGGAAAATTAAATAAAATCAGGAAGAGCAAAGCATCAACGAATTGTTGAAATCTACGCCACCTAGATTAAAAAAATTTTACATTAAGGCAACAGTGCGTATGGTTGATAAACTTTCAAGCTAATTCGCAGACCCTAAAACGCGATTCTTTCAAAAAAATTATTTTGGTATACTTTCTCTGTAGCAGGTTAGAATTTTGGAAGAAATATCATTTTAATTATGATTATTATTATTAACTTAAGGCGTACCTAAGGTGTTTAATTTTTTCAAGATGTATATTAATAATTTGATTTTTTTAAGTTTATTTAATTTTTTATTTTATTAACCGATTGTCAACACTAGTTACTACCGTTAGAGTAAGAGTTTAGTTTTCGGTAGAACTAATTTAATGACGATGAATAGTTTGGCCGAAAAATGATGAATATACGCCCCAATTACAGGGTATCCAGAACAGGCGTGGGCGTCATTGAAGTCGGCGCCAAAGAATTTAGTTGTCGGCATTCTCACATTCATTTGGGTTTCTCGGTTTACTACTCCCCACCGCCCACCGCCCACTAGCCACCCGGAATAGCCCCATTTGCACCCACAACTCCACCAGTTCGCATTTATTTTTGAAATTTGAATCAGCGCTCTACTGGTGTTCATTCCGTCCGTCTTTTGTTTATCCTGCCCGGTGCACGTCACCCGGAAATGTTTGCGTTTGCCAGCGGGGGCGTTTTGGAACTCAACCGTCAGATTATGGGTCCTGTTGTCGTGTCCTTCGAGACTCCTGGGTTTGGTAACATTAGTGAATATATGAATGTATGCCCACGCGTGTTTCGGCGGTGCTTTATCAATAGGTAGTTGCCAGTTTTGATTAATGTGCTTTCACCATTAGTTCTTCAAATGACAGATGGCCTGTAGAACATTGGAACAGTTCATTTGTGTAATATTTCCGATTCCTAATGGACTAATTAATGTAATTGCTTGGTTTTTTGGGTTTCTATACAGTATGCTAGTATCCTTAATTGATAAGAAATCAGTTGTAATCAAGGAAATGGTTATTTCCATTGAAATCGAGGAGGTAAAATTACCTAGGTGAATAGTTGAATAGTTGATAATCTTTATGGGTCTTGTGCCTTTATTACCCTTATAGTACGTTTCTTTATGGATTATCTAGACTGTCCTTGATAGTTCTTATCAAAATTGCAGCCCTCTGAGATAAGTTTGTATATCTTGAGGTGTAAAATCCAAGGTGCAAGTTTCATAGTTGTTTACTTTGAATAACATTATTCGGTACCTATTCTAAGCCCAAAAGAGTCTTCGTTTTGTTATACTACTTTTCCGCCCACATTTCGTGTTAAAGCTCATTTATCACCATTGCAGTAAAGAACCGAATAACAAAGAAACAAATAAGCCGCTAAAAATATAATCCTTTGACCCATCGCGTTTTTCAAACCTACCCCAAAAGAGGATAGATAGCGTTCACAACAATTTAAATACCAATTTGCCTAATTAAGGCACCTCTAGACCGCGCCTCCGCCACTGACAACTCAACTCATTCGGTAGAGTTAGCTTCTGGTGGTCCCCACAGACCGGTCGTAAGTCCAAAATATTGCGTGACCCGTCGTTTGGGCTTTGAGGGAATGGGAAGTCGGTGCAGCTGGAGGTAATGACATCAACGCCGCAACATGCTGGGATCCCTGGCCAGAGGTCATTGGTTGGAGCAGCGCGACGGTCTGCCCTTCGTTCTTATTTTTCACAAATAAATAAACCATTTAAATATATACATTTATAGTATATCTTTTTCAAAAATGTACACCCACCTGGTTGTCCGCGCAATCGTTAATTATGTAGAGGCGACCAATTGATCCAGATGCCCCTGTTCACAGGCAATCGAATCGAATCGGTTGGCCTGACATTGAATTCAGGCATTGCATTGTCAATCAGTCAGGAGCCGTCATCAAGGCCTTCAAGTTGTTTATTTCGATCGACTCGGTAGTTTTGTGACTCCTTTCTTTTTTGATTCTCCCCTTCGCAGACCATGACGGCCAAGAGCGATAAAGATATTCTGGCCAACTCCATGTACGAGGATGACCCCAATGGCAACTCAGCGCCCGCCGCCACAGATGACCAGGAATCGGCCCAGCCGGATGAACTGAAGGTCACCTCATGTGCCGTAGCCACATCATCGCCTGGTGCCGCCACAATAACTTCGACTTCTCCGCGCTGGGGACCCCAGAATAAGGGCGCCCAGGAACTAGCCTCTTTGTACAGTCCAGGTGAGCTGTTCCCATGGAATAACCCATTAAAACAGGTTATTACCGGATACGAATAGAGTTACAGTAGGTATTTTATAATAGTCAAGAAAGATATCGACCTCGAGGACTTTAAGACTCTTTTCTTTTATATTATATCTTACCGCATATCTTTACTTGCTTTAAAAAGTCGTATTTAAATTACTTTACTTTAAATTACTTAAAAGTCATTCTTTTGACTTCATTTTAATGAATACGACTAGATCATGCTATAAATATATATCGAGGACTGTATATCTTCACTAGCTTTAAAAATTCTTATGTAAATTTAAATTACTTTACTTTAAAATATTTAAAATTCATTATAATTGTTAGTCCCGTCACTTTGACTTCATTTTAATGAATAAGACTAGTTCAAGTTATAAATAAACCTCAAGATAGTTTAATAGTATTTAATTCGATTTATATCCCAAGTATTAAATACTTGATTTATTTTATCCAACCTTCTTATCTTTTTTAACAGGCAAGCGTGCCCAGGAAATCATTTGCGTCTACACTTGCATTGGCCTCATGATTATCAACCTGGCCTTAATTGTCAGGCACTTGCGTTTGGAACGGATAAGTGTGGCTTTTCTATCTGCTTTATGTGGCATAATAACGGCCGACTTTGCCTCTGGTTTGGTCCACTGGGCGGCAGATACATGGGGATCCGTGGATTTACCCATGATTGGAAAGGTGAGAAATACACCAACTAAATAACTATCTAATCGTTTTATGACTATAAAATATATGTACTTTTCAGAACTTCCTGCGACCTTTTCGAGAGCATCATCTGGATCCCACTTCGATAACGCGTCACGATTTCATTGAGACAAACGGCGACAATTTTATGGTTGGCATACCGATCCTTGGCTATTTGGCTCACTACTTCTACATCAGGACGCCGAGTGAGATTCAGCAGCATTTCGGCTGGATAGCCTACGTGTTCCTTTGCTCCATTTTCGTGGCCATGACCAATCAGGTGGGGATAATCATTATTAATCATTAAAGTAAAAAGGAATTTAATTAAAATTATTTTAGATACACAAATGGTCGCATACCTACTGGGGATTGCCCAGGTGGGTCCTGTTACTCCAGAGCTGTCACATTATCCTGCCACGCAAGCACCACCGCATCCATCATGTGGCACCGCATGAGACGTACTTTTGCATCACCACCGGCTGGCTAAATTGGCCCCTGGAACGCATCAGGTTTGAACTAATATAATAGATATCAGTAATTAAAATATGGTTCTAATGGCTATTCTTTCCCAATAGATTCTGGTCAACATTCGAGATTATTATCGAGCATTTTACAGGTCTCAAGCCCCGCGATGATGACCTGAAATGGGCCAAGAAACTCACATAGATTCGCCGGCCAGCGACTGTATATAGGAAACTTGGACCAAGCAGCCTTAACTCGCTGAAAGTCATCTTCAAATGTTATCATATTATCGAAATGTTTTGCACAACGAAGTTGCTTTAAACGAGAGCAGATTAGATACTTGTAAAGTCAACTGAGCGAATGGCATACATAGTTATCAGTTGCATGTTTGTTATAAATAGTTAATTATTTTAGTTTAAGTTAGTTTTTTTTATATAGATGTATATCTATTATACACCTGCACACACTCGCACATTATGCATTCATTGATCTCGCCACAGATTAATCGTACTTCGAGTGAGCCTTACGTATACCTAAATACTAAATGGAACAAACTACTGAATATCGAGCACTCGCTTGACGGATAAATTTTTAAAGATTTACACAAAACAAAAGTAATTACTTGATATATGTATAGCTTAAAGAGCAACTGATTTTGGTACCAGGTCCAAGCAAAAAGACATTTTTAATACATTTCATCATCGCTGCTTTTCGATGGCTATAAAATAAATAAACTTATTTACAACTATATGTATACAAAATAACATTAAACTAGGCGCTGTATGCAATCAAGAACGTGACTTACAACTTTTGCCTTAAAAACGTTTTTTATATGTATAAAAAAGTTCTGGAATCGGAATCAATTTTTAGTACGCACACTTTTAGTGGAAAATGTTAATCGTTTTGTAAGAGACCAATTTTTATCATTTATTTCCCAAGGAGTTTGTTATGTGCAACATGTTTTTCAAGTACTTCACTAGAATTTTTAATAATATAAGTCAATTTTGTAAGAGGCCTTGCTGCTTGTATCATTTGAAGTGTTGTTGCGCAACACATTAATTCTAAGACAGCAATATTAATTGTGATCTGAGTAAAATAAACCATAAAGCTAATAAAACCAAATTGGATTGGGTAAAACTTTAATATTTCTTTAAATTTTTGGACACATTCCTTTTTAATTTGGGGTATGCCATGTTTTTAATATTTTCCTTTTGTTTTTATACAAATTCTTGTATAGACCAAAATATATATTTTAAAAAAATTTTTTTTTGCCTCAAAATTTTATGAAAATAAAGTTCGATTTCTAGTTAAACAATAAAATAAATTATTAAAAGGTTATTACAAAATATATTAAACTGATGATATATATTATACATTATTTTCTTGAGGCCTTTTCTAGACGTCTTTGAAGCTTTTCCCTTTTCTTTTGGGCATCCCGCTCCCCGGCTTTTGTCCACACCACAATCTTTCGCTGGGTGCGTTCGTTATGGATAGCTACCTCCCTCTCAGCTTTGTATTTCGACTCTCTTATTTGGGATTCGTTGTGAAGGAAAAAGCGGCGACAGCTCCTGCGCATCCAGCTTTTGCAGTTGGCTGACTTATTTCTCTTTTTCATGGGGCGTAAAGTGGCTGGATCTTCTTGGGGCTCGACCTTTGCGGTTTCGACCTCAGCCGATCTTGTGCTTTGACGCTTCATTCCACAAAGAAGAATGAACAGAATAAAGATTGCACCGATGGCCAGAAAGAGTCCCACCATTCTTCCCAGACCAATATTATTCATCTCCTCATCCTCTTCGGCCACTTCCCTGGCCAATTCCCGTTTCAGCCGATGGCAATCTTCGGCGGTCATGGCCCTTACATCCTTATATACAGCAGGGGTATCGTTAAGCCACCACGATGGAAATGATTGCGTACTGAAGAGATCCCGACATTTGGCATACACTTCGACCATCCATTTCTGGCAGTCTGGTCTGTTGATATCGACTTTGCAAATGGGATTCATCACACAACAGTGCGCTTTACCAAGACTTAAAAAATAAGGATAATGGATAAAATTTTTTTCACATATGTCATGAGTGTTTTTTGATTAAATATAAATATCCCACTTTGTTTTGTGAGAGTCAGTATATTTTTGCCTAAGTATTAGCTAAGACATTCCAGCTAAGTCATTCACCCCAAATGCAACCCTGCTATTAGCAAGGATCCGATCCTCACACCAAAATACCCGAAAATACTATACTTAGGGATTTTGGAATTTCATGCATACTACGTCCACTGTAGAAGCCATGATTTCCGCCTCTTTTATATCAGCGTCTCTCATGACCAGTTCGTTCGCTCCGTAAAAATTACTTAATTCGATCGCATCCAATCATCCGCGAGTGAATTCCCTGCTAATCTGTGCATATTATTGTTCCTATTCTTGTTGGTGAGTTAATTTCTCCGAAATATTGTCGTTTTATGACTGGAATTCGCCAAAACACAGAAATCATAAGAGCCTACGCCTGGGCCGTATTTATCATCGCCACGCCTGAATCTACATAAAGGATCTCTGTAAAGGCGCACACCGCGTGAAGTGGATCTTTTCTCCATTCCACGCCTGGACTCCCATACTGTTCGTCATCTCGGACCTAGTTTATAACGCCGTTTCCACCTTACCAAGCCCGCGTGAGGTTTTCATCGTGCAAAAACTGCACCAAAATCGAGAGGCCGGATCCAGTCGGACGAAATTCGGACGAATCTCACTGGCGCCGATTCATCAAAATCCGCGCAAGCATGGGCAAACACGAAGTCTCAACCCAATTGGAATTTCAGTTCCAATTGTGGATCCAGTTCACGTTGGCCGGGGCTGCCAACTTGTTCTTTGTATCGCATTAAGTAAAAGTAGTTTAGTTTTCTCTATTTCCAACACATTTAAGATAAGACTCTAATTTACTTTACGATTCCTATTTAGCAACATTATTTCGTGTGTGCTTATGATATAGATTGACATATATAACCATTACATAAACGTTTCAAAGTTCTACAGCACACATCGATCGTCATCAGGCCTGCTGACTTCGTTGGAGAGTTCGTAAGTACGGCATAGCCGCCAAAACATTTAACTATATATTCATTCTTGTCTAAGCCCACACACTCTTGATATATATATTTACCTATCTACAATCTTATAATCGTTGTCATATATAAGAGAATTAAATAAGAATCGTTTGCCTTTGATTAACGTAAAGTAATCGGCCTCAGAGCCTCGGATGAAATAAGAATATCGTATATCGATAACATAATGTAATCAACTACAATTTAACGTAAAGTAAATATCTTCTTTTCTTTATCGTCCTTATCGTAAATACCAAGACAACCAAATAGAGAGTCGCTTAACGTAGATAACGTTTAGTCTTAAGGACTTAGTTTTAGTATTATTAGTATTAAGAATGAACCCCATTATCGTATTTGGTGAATTAAAGATGAAGTTTAATATGAATCAATTGTTATCTTTTAAGGGCCCCTAATAGAATGTAGCGCAGCGGTTGTTTAAGGGTAGAGTCTGATGAGGCTTTACAGGTAGGGTGGGTATAGAAGAAGGCCATTACCATCTGGGCTTCCATCTTCGATAGGTACAATCTCTCGTCGTTATATTTGTTTACTTAGAACTTATAAGTTAAAAGTCGCAAGAAAAAAGTAAATTACTATAGATGTTCAAGTCGTACTCACTATTTAAAATTTAGATAAAGTCGATATTAGCTATCGATGTGGCCCAACCTTCCAAACTCTAGTGTCATGGGCTGTATTTCCGCAATAGTAGAAACCACAGAATCCTACACTAAATATACCGCTATTGGGAGCCACCTAGAACTCGTTTACCGTTAGGTGGAGTAACTGAGTAATGACGCTAGGAGGAGCCACCAATGTGAAATTGCCAACAGGTGGATCCAAGAGTCCATCGATGAACCTGCAGGGGGCGCTTTTGTAATTATATGGAGGTGGGTATCCTTTCACCCGGTAAAGCCGGGTTAAAAAAACTATATGTTTCTTGGCTTCCCGTTCTCTGCAATTTCAAAACCCACTCCCTATTTATGCTATTTCCCGTCCACTGGCATCTGAAACACCACGGGCAAGACCATCTCATTGCCATCTCAATCGATAATACTACTATTCGGAAATACTATAATATAATATAAAACTATAATATAATATAATAATAGTCGAATAAACTATTAAATATACATTTTATAATAATTAGGGCCGTTTTCTCGTCCGTTTGGTAGATTTAAAGATCTTTAACCCAACATTAAATTAAACAGGCGGACGAGAAAACGGCCCTTATTAAATTAAATTGTCGTAACGAAACGCAGCAACATTGTGTTGCAAGCAACATTTGGAGGGAAAGTCTTTCTTCTGTAAGTTGTCGTAACGTAACGTAGCAACTTTGGGTAAAGTAAATGTAAAATGCAAGTAAAATTTGTGTTGGAAGCAACAAAAGTTGCCAGCAACCTTTGTATTGTAAGGGGAAATTCTTTCTCTATTTTCACCGCACCCACGCAACGTGTTCTTGAGTGCTTCCTATTTTTCACTCAAACCTAAAGGGGAGCAATCGCAGCAAAGTTGCAGAAGCATGTTGCATGTTTCATAAGCGAATCTTATTTGCGCATGTGAAAAGAAACCGAGTCCTGTGGGTTTTCGTATTCAACTGCAATTGGACGGAACAGTCGTCCTGTGTTTGGCCTGTCGTCAGGTTTGATAATGGACCTTTGAAGACAAAGGTCATTTGAATAGGCTCTAAAAGACTGACTGATGACTTTTCAAAAAGCAGCAGAAATGTTAATTAGCTGTATTTGTTTGCTTACCGCTACTAAGCACAGCTCCTTTCGTTGCATCTAATTGGTTATTCATTTTGCTTTTTTCGTGCTCTGACCCAAACATCTGCTCAGCAATATATTTGACCTACTACTTTAAATGGATGCAAAATATTCATTAGCTACTTAAAAAAAAGTAAATATTATTACTTATTATTTTAAATATGGCTAAAATAGTTTTTGAATACCGAATTGCTATTTAAATTTGGTCATATGACATTTAAAGATATTTGTGCCAGCCAAATCTTTGCAAAACATTCCTATCTTAGAAAGAAAACTGAAGTTTACATTTCAAATTTGATTGCATCCCTGGAGCCATCACTTTCGTTTCTTGGGTCACGTTCGACTCGGATCCTCGGAGTCATCTTTGCGTGGCCTTCAATGTGGGAAATTATCATTTCAGCCTTCGCCCGCACCTCAAGTTACACACTTTCTTCTCAGCTCCTGACGCCATTTATCTGGCGGGTCTGGAAGAAAATAGGGAAAAAACGGAGACAACCAGAGAGAAAAATTGGGTTATGCCTCCGTTCAAGAAAAGTGAAATTAGCATAAAGTTCCTTCTTTCTCCCTCACTTTTGTGTACTTCTTTTATTTGCTGTTGCCGTTTCTGCTGGGTTAACTTTTTGCAACGTTGTTTGCTGTCTTTTTGCATTTTGTTTGTAATATCTTGGGTGTCGTCCTCGCCATGGTTGTTGGTGTTTCGGGCCAATCAACTGAATGGCGCTCGCTTAGGGCATTAGTTTTTTTTCTTAAGTTTCCGGGTCGCATTGTCTAATTTTGCATTTAAATATGTAAATATTTATGAAAAAGGTGGAAGTGAAAAAGAAAAGAGGATTTATGGGAAAACTTATACAAAGTTTAATTGCGGGCTTATGTGAATTAATTGATTTACGTTTTGATCTCTGAGTTCTCTTACCAATTATATTTGCTCGATTAATCTTAAAAAAATTTAAAGCGGGAGTTTTGAAACGTAAAAATTAATTCAAATTAAAATATTACTTAAAATAAAAACAGTTTTTCAAAATTATTTAAAAAGGTGCCTCAATGTTTCTTGTATTTCCATAGAATGCAATTAATACAATTTGTAATTTAAATTTCTAAAACTTTATTATATAATTTAAAGTATATTTTTATAAAGATTATTTTTTTTAATTATTATAATAAATTTAGTAGTAATACTCAATTAACTTTAATTTGATCCATCATACTACGAAGCCCGAAATCCATTTAATTCCAACAATAGCATACATACCTATATCATAAAGATTGGCTTGCAAAATGTAAATTCAATGAGAATTCTTAATGACACACAGGCAGACACACAATCAAAATTATTCCATGTAATTTATTAATGCCGTGTGCGGCACAATTTGTTTCATGAAGCATGTAAAATGGATTTAACGCCCTGATAAGGCTTGACCATGGGAGAGGTGAGGGAAAGATAAAGGCAAATGCACACAAGGCGACAGTTGACTGGACATGAGCAAGGATTGGCTTTAACCACTCACATACGGCTATGGCTAGCATATTGACTGACTAATTAAAACTGAGCACACATACATGACCTGATTCCTCGACTTTTCCCACGTTAATCCTTCGCCTTGATATAATATTCAAGAAACAAGCAAAAATACATATTAAAAAGCAAATTTATATGAGCATGAACATGGAAAATGGTAAGTTAATAATAAAACAAAATAATAAATATTAAAAAATTTGAATGTATAATAACAGTACTTTGGTCTATTTTTTAGGCCTTATATACATTCCAGATTCCGTACATAATCACACCGGTGTAATTAAGTGATAGCATTACTACAAGTATATTGTGGTTTACATTCAAGAAGTGTACTTTGAAATGCACAGGTCAGCCATCAATCAGCCCTAATTGAAACAAGGCACTTTGATATGCCACTCACGTTCAATATCAATTAATGCCACAATAAACCTATCAATTTTTAATTGCTGACACCCAGCAGATTGGCAAACAAACATTTCGATAAAATGTTGGATGGATTAATTATTTATTGCTAATTTTTTGAGTCCCTCATTTTGCCTGGTGTTGAACCTCACTTGAAGTCCACTTTGGCCTCCAACCAAATGTAGAAATGGATTCTTTGCGAACTTCTTTGACTCAGAGCTCCGGTCATAGTGATTTGGGTTCACCGAGAAAAAAACCGTGCTCATGGATGTTGATTTCAGTATTTCGTTCTCAAAAGCTAGCCAAGATTGACTTATACTAAAAATGCTTAAATCAACATCGATGACATCCCTATGTTTGTAGTACATAAACACACTTTTACTTCCGTATTTTAAATTTACATTTACATTTATGTAAATCCTAAGATTTACTAAAAATGAATATTAATGAGTGAAAAAAAAGACGCAAGGAATTTCCGCCTCGACGTTGGACTGAAGTTCAGTCACTGAACACACACTTCCGACTACATGCGTAGGGCAATTCCTAAAACTGAGTCAGCCATGCTTTCATCTTGATATCTTCGTGTTTTTGTTGTTAAGTGTTTCTTATACAAAAAGATAACAGTATAATTTTTTTTAATCTCAAGAATTTTTGCTATAAAAGGAATAGTTTGCGAATATTGTTGTTTGTGTGATATCAAATGGGTGACCTTGGGATCCAAGAGAGTTCAAGAGAATTTAAGAAAAAATAATTTTTTTGTTATACCCTTGCAGAGGGTATTCTAATTTCAGTCAGAAGTTTGCAACGCAGTGAAGGAGACGTTTCCGACCACATAAAGTATATATATTCATGAGACTTTTCTTATGGATAAAAACAAAATTGAAATAATATATCTGAAAGTTATTACTTAAAAAATGTATCCGCATTTAAAATTATTACGTACAATTGTAATTTTAACTATTGTTAAGAATTCAACGGCTGTAAAAACACACTTAAGAGCCTGTCTCCGTGAACTGATGCCCTGTGTCCGGGTCTGCTGCCCCCGAAAGAATATCTTGATAAACGGAAAGTGTAACGATGGCTTTAAAGAGAAGATTAGTTTATCGGTGTTAAATCTAACTTTAAATGACACACTTGATGTATATCCAACTGTTGAGGAGCTAAGAATGGCGCCGCAGCCCAATTTGAGCGAGGTCCTTGTGCTAAGAGAACAGTTTCAGAGCTGCGATCAGGTGGTCAGTCTGAGGGAAGATGAGTACCGGATACTAAAGGTTTGCCCTGCAATCTATAAACAGTATATAAGATTCTAACACAAACTCTTTAGGATGGATCCATATTTGTATACAAAAATGTCCAAATCTTGGGCAAAGAAGAGTATTGCCTCTATCCCCAGTTTAATTCGGAATTCCCACAGTCCATTTGGGTTGTTCATCACATTTGCAACAAGGTTTTGCTGCCAGCGACCATCGAGAGTAATTAAACTTATTACTTGACCACCTAAGCTGTTAACTTAATTTCTCTGTTTCTGTACTTCCAGTCACGATAATATCCGTAATATGTTACATTCTCACATTGTCAGTGTATCTTTACGTCAAAAAGCTTCGAAATGTCCTCGGCAAGGTTCTTATATGTAGCTTATTCTGCACGCTCTTCAATAATCTTACCTTGGTACTGGATGAATTTAATATATTAAACCGCATTTGCCTCATATCAGGTTAGTTGTTAATATGTATTTCGGAATGGATCTTAATAATGGGAAAGACTAATAGCATTAGCGGTTTTTTTCAGGTTACTTTAGATACTTCTCCATGTTGGCCTACAATCTCTGGATGTGTGTTATCAGCTTTCATTTATGGAAATCATTGACGTCCATGAGTCGTGAGGAACCTCGCTTTCAGTTTTGTGAATACAGTGCCTTTGCTTGGGGCATGGCTGCTTTTCCAACAGGAGTTATTTATCTAATTAATGAAGTTTGGGAGAAGGATCTCCATAAATGGAACTGGATGCCCCTAGTGGGTTATTATAATTGCGAGCTGAGAGGTCTGAATAAAAAAATCATTTCGGTTAGCTCTTACTATATATTTCCTATCGCCCACAGATATCGGGCCCTCTTCATTCATATACTTAATTGGACCAATGCTGATTCTAACCATTTTAATTGTGATCATGTTTGTTCTAACGGTTATTGGCATTTATAAAGTTAAGAGGGAGCTAAAGAAGTTAAATCAAGATGAGGAGATGACAATACAATGCTTCAGCTTTGATACTGAAACGTAAGAACAAATCCTTTTCAGAATTTTGTGAGCAGGCATAATTTGCATTCCAAATTTCGTTCTCAGTTATCTAATGGTCTTTCGGCTCTTTGTTGTTATGGGCGCCATTTGGATATTGCAGATTTCTTCCTTTTTTAATTACAACAGTTTTTTTAAGTTGGTCCATAATTTTGCCTTGTATTCGGGAAGCAGTTTGGGAATTATTGTTTTTATGGTGCTTATCCCTAGGCGTAGCACCCTAAAGCTTCTCATGGAGAGGTAAGTTCGTTGTAAATAAGACAGATATTCGAATAATAAGCTACCTTTTCTAGCTGTATTCGGGAAAGACGTCAGTAGCAGTGTCTAGACGCTTTAAGTACCATGAAAATAAATGTTTTTGTTGTTATTTATCTAGAAATATTTACTACTTTTTATTTATTTATAATTGTCAGTCTTTCTAAATAAGAAGTTTAGATGTTGCTCTGGACCTTTTATATTAATTAAAATTTTACTATATTAAAAACCTGAGGCACTTTGATTTACGATCCCCGTTGAATATAAATTATTGCCACAACGAACCTATCAGTTTTTAATTGCTGGCACCCAGCCGATTGGCATACAAACATTTCGATAAAATGTGGATTGGATTAACTATTTATTGGTAATTTTGTGTGTCCCTCATTTTGCCTGGTGTTGAACTCCACTTGAAGTCCACTTTGGCCTGCAACCTAATGTCGAAATGGATTCTTTGCGAACTTCGTTGAAGGACTCAGAGCTCAGGCCAATTGCCAAGTTAAATTCTAAACAAATTTAATTGAAAAACTTTTCCGTTCCCTCCTCCAATGCCAATGGTCAGTTTTTTTTTCTGGACCGGAGGGTCCTGGGTATCTTGGAGTACCACGAAAGAATACAAGTGCATATGCAATTGTTGGTCCTTCCAGTTGCAATTGCAATTGCAGTTTCTGTTATTATTATTATTTTTTTCTTTTTTTGTATTTTGCCCTGCTTGTCGCGATTCACTTGAGACCCGTTTAGCATTTAACTCTGGCTTCTCGTGCTGTTGGCTCCCTTGGCGATTTTTTTTTCCTTATTTAATTATTTTCTAGATGTTTTGGCCAAGAGTCACCAACGAGCTGCGAAAAGTTTTCGGTTGTTGCCGAAATTGAAATTATAACTTTTGACTACTTTCTGTTGCTTCGTGGCTCACACCGAGCGATAGTTGGAGGAGTTTCGGTTTAGTTTATCTGGGAATGGAAGTACTTTGGGGTCGCACCATTAAATCTGGCATTATATTCTTTCGCATATAGTTGCTCTTTAAAATGCCGTCGAAAATAAATGCAGCAAGGTTAAAAAATTTAAAAAAGTAATGAAGCTTAAATGCAGTATCAAAATTAGAGATTAAAAATCAGCAGAATTCTCAAAATCCACCAATTAAAGTCGTAATACAATGACCTTGAAATGCTTTGCTAAATTGCAGTTCAATCACCAACTTGGGCCTATGTTCAAACTAAGCGGGTGATTAAACTGCAAAACAACAAATTAAAAAATTTTAATTATCTGTTTTTTGCTAACTTCACTGGTATAATCATTATATGTTATCAGGTCGCATTACAGGTGATTTTAATCGATAGAAGGTATTATAGCCCAAACAAAATTGTTATTTCTCATTCCCGTCGAAACTGTTCACCGTTGCTGTTGAAAATGGCTTCTCGAATTCGCCTGTTGCAACTGATTATTTTCCTGTACTTTTTTAAACAAGTAAGAATATATTTTGAATAAGACATTCATATAACACAAACGACTTTTTAGATTGTATCAAAAGTGGAGTTTACCAACATTAAATGCACTTCCCTCGATCCTGAGTTCGCAAGCTTCGACTATTGCTTTCTAAAGTCAGTGAATCGTACTTATAAATACCTTTCCTTAAAAGTAAAGTTGTTAAAAAAGCCTGTTACCAAAGTAAAGGTATGTATGCTGTTAAATTTCTAGGTGCTACACACAAAAAAAATCGATATGAAACTTTGATCGATTTTACATTATTTAAGATAAATTTTAATTTGATATGAGGCTTTTTTTGTGTGGTTCTTTCGATTGTTTTTCGTTTCAGGTTAACTTTGCATTTTTGAAAAAATATAATGGCTATAAACCGTCTCTCTTTAACGTAACAGTAGATGCCTGCAAACTTCTTAAAAACCCAAAATCTAATCCAGTTGCAGCTTATATTCACAGTTTCTTTAAAAGTTACTCCAATATGAATGATTCCTGCACATTTAACGTGAGTCCGGTTGCTATAACGATATAATAATTCATGATGTATTTGATTGTCTACTTTGTTTTCAGCACGATCTAATTGTGGATAAAGTGTCAATCGATTCTGTAAATACGAAAGCTACTGCCGTACTTCCAGTTCCTCATGGCGACTATATGTTTCATTCGAACTGGTTTGCTTACGATATCAACCGTGCTACTGTAAACGTATATGGTACCCTATCTTGAATGGAAGAAATATTTTTTAACCATGTAATAAGTATAAATAAATGTATTTTCTGTTTAAGACGGGTTAAGGTTAGGTAATTTTTACCGTTTTTTTTGCACTTTTCACTTCTTTTGCATCTTTACCACACAGTTATTTTCAATCAAAAGACACTTGCAGTCAGACAGATAGTTCCGATATGGAAATGGAGATGAATCGTGGCTATTCAGCTATAAAATGCCCTTAAGTTGCCTCGGCTGTCTCAGTGTGCACTATAGTGCCTAAGATATATATGCTTTGCCCCTATAAATATATATGCATTTCTCGTTCTTAAGCTGCTATAGATTTATATGAAAACTCAAGGATCGACTGCTTCCTCTCACAAGTTGCTTCAGTGTGTTTTCCTGTGTGCGTTTGTATCTGTGTGAGCATGACATTCGCCGGCTGCAAGTGGCTTCTTCTGTGGAGAAACGAGCAAACTTGCATACGCATTGCACACAAGCTGCTGACGACCAAGTTATGTCCTTGCTGTAATACATAGCCATTGCACATTACAGTGGAGCCTGCACATTAATCATTTATACTAATTATTATAAATAGAATTTAACAAAAAATTTTGTGATGTTTTTATATTTTAAAAATATAAATGAATTTGAACCATGAAGCAATTAACAATGTTTAAGTTAGAACTATAAATTTCTAAATTTTATAAAATTTTGATTTTCGAAACATTAAAATTTGCTTTTTATACCTTTTATAAGATTACCAATATTATTCATCATTTAAGTATTTATAACAAATTACTTTTGTAATGATTACATAGTAATGATGTATAGCTATTATGGCAATATTTTTAGGCTTAGCCGTTCACGTTTCGATTAAATGATTTATTTAAAATTAATACCTTAAGGTCATTTGATTTATATTAAGTTACAACATCGGTAATTCATAGGCAATCTTACATATGTTCCTACAGTTGTATATGCACATTATTTTTTGGATTTATTTTAATTTCCACTTGTGAGTGTTGACTTGAATTTCTGCCATCCTGCTGTCAGCAAGCACACAGACCGAAGGACAAAGAGGACAGAAGGACCGGCTCACATATGTACATATATATGGGCACTTCCAAAATGTCGCTCGGGACATTTGCACACCTTTAAAGTTGAAAAAAAATTGTAAAACAATGGATTTTAATTTTAATTATAGGCTTTTCTTTTCACTCTTCCCAAGCTCTATTTTTGGTAAAAATCTTGATTTTGTACCACTTTTAGTTTTTAAGATATCGGTAAAAAACTGCCGTATTCGCTCGGGACAAAAATAGAAGTGGATTTCGGGGAAGTTCATACAACACCAGAAATTAGCGAATTCTGATGGAATATTTGAATGCGATTTTTTTTAGAATGTTGTTCAAACATGTCGCTGTGAAATGCTTTTGGTTTTACTCAAAAATTCTTTGCCGTTTTTTTTTTATAAAGTTTCAACCACATTCGCTCGGGACATGTCGCTCGGGACATTTTTTCCGACTGTTTGGTAAAGCGGATTTTTTTACCTCTATCTCTCAATTGCTGGATGTTTTGCTTTTAACTTAATAGTTTAGCATGTGAATGAAGCATTCAGTACAGAAAAATGTTACATATTAGCATTACTATAGGATAAATTAACAACAGAAGACAGGTCCAAAAAATAACAAAAAAATAGCCAAAAACTGATTATTCCGTATATTGGTAGAGTTTGTCATAAAAATAATCAAACTATACTCGAAATTTGTAGTTAAGCTCAGTATCCAACTAATTAGAAACTAATATCGGGGCAAAATCATGTGGAAATATGTTTTATTCAAGTTTCAAGGTTTTTGGCTTGGTGGACTTTTTTTTGGAAGTGCCCATATGTAGTGTGTCTCATGCATCTCAGTTTCCAAAGAGTGTGGAAAATGCACATCGGTTTCGGTTGCTGTCTGTAGTCTGTATCTGGCTCGATTTTCCTCTGCCTTTCGTTCTTGGCACCCTGATGTTGATGTTTTCGCATCCTTTGGTTTTTTATTGGACCTGTGCCCCACTTTGTCTCTGACTTGCAACTTTTTGTTTCGCCTTCAGATCCGTCTTTTCCCTGCTGCAGCAGCGGCGGGTCCTGGCGCTGGTGTCCTTTTTACACTTTGTCGCATTGTGCGGAAGTGTGCGGCACTTGAGAACTACTTTTACTTTTGTGTATACGCAATATTCTAGGCTGCACCCCATTTGCCCCTTGGACTTTTCTTAAAGCTGGCATTCCTGATATTCGCAACTAGTCTTCAGCTTCAGCCTCTCACATATCGTTATGCTACGTGTAACACCTTGGGCGCAAGTTTTGTTTGTCTTGCCTCTCGGATGTGTGTGGTTCCTATTGATAAACGAGGCACGAAAATTGCTATCCAGAGAAATGAACATAATGGATGGACACTAACAGATGGAGACAAGTTTCCAAGCATTTGGCAGCCTCAAGTCAATTTGAATTATTTTTTTAAAAATGTAAACTTAGGAAACCAAGCAAGAAATAATATCATATTAAAAGAAAATTCACGTCGTTAGGAACTTCAGAAGTAAGAAAAAAACTTAATTTCTTAAGTACACTAAGAAGTAATAGGAGGAAAGTAATAAAGAAAGTGAAATGACATTTAAGGTGTGTCTCTGGCTCGACATTATTAACAAGTGACTGCAAATTTTTAATTGACCATTTATAATTGGACCAAGCTGTTCTCAAAAGTCTAATGGCCTGGGCTTGCCTCAGTCATAATGCCCATAATAATGGTACAAATGATAATGGACCTATAACGATAAAGTTGTCGAGACAGAAATATTTATATTTAACAAAGTAAGAAAAAAGGCTGAGTGAAAGTATGGCTCAGAGGAAACGAAAGCCAAGGGAAAGTCATAAAAAGTTTAACACCGCGCAATCGCCATGTTGCCTTGTTCTTATTTTTATTTTCCGAAATATTTTCTTTTACGCTTAAATTGGCTTTTATTTTTTGTGCTTCATTTGCTGGCTGGTTCTTTGTGGGGTCCATAATAAAGTTTTAAAGCGAACTATTTATTGCCCGAAAATGTTTATCAAAGTGACGTGAATATTTTGTTTGTAACTTTGCGTTGTTTTATGGCTTGTTGGTGTTTTATATTTATTTTTTAACTTTTTGGTCTACAAACAACTTTTAAGGGCTGCGATCGAAGTAATTTAATTGGCTTTAATGCTTCCCCTTTTAAGTACAAAAAGTTTGGATCGTTTACTTGCACCTATGAGAATGTTATATCTATTTTGACTAAGAATATATTCTAGGTGTAAGAGAGAAAGTACTCTGGGAGTAATTGGATACCTACTTTTATATACAGAACAAAGTGGAGCCACAGCGAAAGTGATTTTAAAGGTAAAAAAGTAGTGATAGAATAAAAACTAAAGGGAATTGGCAAGTGAAAGAAGTCAAAATTGGTTAAATTGCGTGACGAATGCTATGGGTTCCCTGTCATAGATTTTCCATGGACCTCTGAGCCGGAAAAGTCGAATGACCCAAACACGATGGTCAACATGCGATAGCCGGCTGACAAAACACGTAAGTTAACCCCTTCCAAAGCTGCCACCAGACACGGATTTGAATTTCCCCTTCCGCGGGAATTCATTCTGACACATTATCAAGGTTTTAAGTGCTCAATAAAAAAAGGTGGCGCTTTAACAAGGGAAAATGACAAATTTAGTGTGCGTTAGTGGCTGTTATCTACTTGTAGATTTCTTAACTAATTAAGCAAAACCTTTGTGGGTGAGCTTACAATTTTTAAATTATATAGAGAATATTTCAAATTAAATTTTATTTTAAAATTATAGAATCTATTTGCACTTTTGCCCCCTTGATTTGGGGCATAGATTGTCAACTAATTAAGGGTCACCATGTGAAACCGCATAACACCAAACAAAGCCGAAAACTTGTTTGCCTCTCTGTCCTTTTGCCACGGTTTTTAATTAAATTGCTTTGCTCCTTTTTCGGCTGTACCATTTTTGGCCTGGCCTAGCTTGGACTTTGTGGCAAAATTTACTATGTAATTTCCGCACTCCTTACTCACTTGGGCCGGTGCTGCAGCGCACTTGAATTTTAATAGAACCTGCAGCAGCCAGGAGAAGTCGGGATTGAAGGGGCCAACTGGCTGGGTAAGGCGCCAAAATGTGTGTGTTGCCATTATGTCATAACTCACGGCTGCGCCTGCAGGTATAAAACGCTGTGCAGTTTTTCGGCGCTAAAAAATAATAAAGTAAAAGGCAGAGTTTAAGAAAAAGTAGGAGTAAGACCAACCATGGAATATACCCCTTGAATTATACACTTTAAATACTATAAAATAAACTCCAAACATTTGCAGAACAATATTGAGAACCCTACATACCTAATTTTATATACATTATTAAGAATGATTTTTAGTACACAAAATAAATAAACGTTTATTTATATTTTTATTTTGTTCTTAAAAAAGAGGGTAAATAATACAATATATTTACTTATTTTAATTTTCTTTTTTACCAATTTCGTTTAACAAATATTTTTCTGTACTTTTAACTAATCATTTTAAGACTTATTTGCTTAAAAACCATTATTCATTATTGACACTCAGTCCTGAAATGTCGAAGGTCAGCCACAGTGTAGCTTTGTGGGGTTAAAAGGAAGGAAATTATTTCAACAAGTTACAAATTTTCGGAGTACGTGCCAGTTTCGGTTGGGTCCAGCCCACATTGTTATGTTTGTCGCGTAGATCTGATCAATGACCTGCGAGCAATCCGCATCCACAAGCATCCACCCACCACCATCGTCTTTCACTGTAACTGAGCTGTGTGTCCCATTAGGTTTCAATAGGTTCTGGCTCAGGGCGCTTATTCTGCGTTCTGCCATTTTATCAACCACTGCCGGAAATTGTGACAAATTGATTGAACTAAATGGTAAAAATATCAGGCATCAAATTGCCTGTGACACCGAGAGAGTTTTGGCCATCGGAATGGACTGAAAATCGGGGCTTGGATGGGAGGGTTTGTGGATGTGGATGGGTGAACGAGTCCAAGTATGCCCCGGTGATTCCTGTGCAACAGTTCGCAGGCAGAGGCAGCAACTCACGCACTTCGAGCTAGACATGTTTTATATGTCAGTCTCAAGTGTCCTCGCCAGACGACAACAAAAACATTGGGACAGGCTTAAATGCAAACTTCATACTGGGTTTTTTTGTTATTGCATTCTTTTTGTCGTATTAAAGCAGGAATTCAAATGAGTCTCAAAGGAGCTCAAAAAGAAAATGAATGTTTCGGGTTCAAGGATGCATAACAAAAATTGTCATTAATTCATCAAGCACTTAGTAAGTAAAAAAGAGAGTTTTGATCTGAAAAATAAAAAGTTTGTTTTATAAATATCTAAATTTTTAAAAATCCACTGAACTCGAATAAAAATTCTGAGGAAATGTGCTCTTGTCAGGTGAAAATGATAACATTCCCATAAAACACAGCACATCAGTTAAAATTGATAGGAATGGTGGTTTTCTGAAAGCACTGGAAACTTAATGTATCTTTGTGCTCCGGCTGCATTAAGTAAAATTAATTATTGTTTATTTGTCTGCACACTAGGATCGATATCTTTGCCCTGTTATTAGGTGTACTGCAGTACAGTAGACTGGTTAAATAGAAAGAGAAAACTTTTTCTTTAATTCTCAATAAGCCAAAATAATTAATGTTATCTAAAGCCAGTCAAAATTGTAAACTATGGAGCATGAGTGTTAGTCCATTAATCCTTTTAATGTGATTTTGCTTAAATAAACTACTCATGTAAGGGAAAGATAATTATTTAATGAAACATGAGTAGTTAAGCTTAAGAAAAACAATTAGAAGGTGAAAATCTCCCACAACCTTTTTTTATACCCGCCACAAGTTGATACTTAAACATTATTTGAGCAGCATCTTGCAAAGCCAAATCACTTCTTGAGATCAACCCTTTTCAACTTTTTCTACGTAATCTTGATCCCGACTAAAACCTGGCACTGACAATTATGGCCAACCTTTTTCCTCGGCCACAAAATCCGACCAAGCAAGTGTCAAAAGCAAAGGCACAAGAACTTTTTGAAACGAAGATTGATTTTACTTTTGGACAGCCCTTCGTCCACTCTTGAAATGCATTTTTATTCGGTATTCCCAGTTTTAGCCATTAATCAAAGTACCAAATAAGTTTGTTTCTGTTGTATGCAAGCAGAATGATTAATTAGATTTCATTGCCAATGCAATTAGAGGTTAATTAATTGGCTTTGAATAACTTTTTACCAGTTAAGTGTCGAGTGATTCGTGATGGAAATCGGATAGGAAATTATTTATATTGCTGACAATTTGTACTTTTCATTTGATTTGTTTCCCTTACCATTTGTGGGTTTATCAGGCATATTGGTTTATAATATTTATGTATTATGTTCAGTTTGCAAACAAAAAAATTAACAAAAGCCTTTAATAATGAAAACAAAGCGTTGTATTTTTTAATAGAAATTAACACAATAAACTCAAAATCAATTGGTCCACCTTGTCGAACTTTGGCCATAATTCAGTTGCCATTTCTAGTCGTTGGTGTGTTTTTACTTTTTGCGATATTTGCCATAGGGTTTTTGTGGTTGATTCCGGTTTGGGTTTGCCCCAAGTGGATTTATTGTTTCGAGTGGCAAATACAAACATCCGTTCCCATCACCCACATCAATCCTGGCCGCACGTTGTCGACTCCTGTCAGGCACAATATCCAAGTTGTTAACAATAGTCAGGACCCGGGATTTGGGCTACCAAACACACTGGATTTAGCTGAAGAATGAGGAATGGGACCGGTTGGCAAGACGCTGCCGCCGCACACTTTGTCAGTTCGATTTTGGATAGGTCGAGATATTTCTTATTGTTGTTAATCTTTCTGCTGACACGGCCATATGCATTGAGAATTGGGAACTCCAACTGGCCCAGTCTCCATTTCATTTTGCGGCTCACCAAGAGACAATATGTGGCAAGAGCCATTGTCTTTAACTTGGTCGCATCTTGCCGCTTTCTTCCTTGGTTTCAGCCTTTATTGTTATGCCATGATTTCACTCAGGACCAAGTTCTATGAAAGACAGGGGGCTTTGTTAGAGATTGCTTTGCCTTTAAAGCCTGCGCTAAATTTGCTATATTTGTTTTATAACTTTTCAATTGCAAATGTATTAAATTTCATGGTTATTTCAACAAATAATTTAAGAAAGTTTTTTTTATTTTGGTTTCCCTTTCCGACTTTAAAATGTATAATTGAAATAAAAAACCCACTGAACCATAAACACTGAACCATAAAACAAAACCATAAAATAAAGAATATAAATCTTTAATGCCTATTACTCTCTTTTTCCTTCTTGCTCTCATAAACTCATTTTTTATCTGAAAGTTTGCCAAGAAAGTTAAACATCTTAAAAATTTCATAATTTGTCTTGTCATTAAAGCAGCTTCTCCTATTTCCATTTCCAATTTCAAACCGACTGCAATGCAGCAGCAAGAAGGCCATTTGTGTCACTCGTAAATTTCCAATGCCGGCAACAAGCCGCCAGCATTCGCATTCCCATTCGCATTCACATTTTATGCTTTATTTCCCTTTCTTCAATTTTTTTGTTTCGCTTCCTCTGCTCTCAATTCCCAATGTTGCCAAGTGGCAGTCATTGGCTCTTGCAGTGCCCTCCCGATTTTCGGATAGTGCTTAAAAATTTGCAGATTTACTGCTACAGCAGAACTAGAGTCCCGAAAACCGCACGCGCCATAGAATTTATGCGATTGCCGAAACTTGACATTATTCTGGCGCCACAGCCAAGGACAAAGAGACTGTCGTCATTTCTATACTGACTCTGCATAATGAGGAGTAATTCCAAGTGCGTGGAAATAATTTAAAGTATTCTAAAATATATTTTTATAAATCAAGTCCCCAAGAAAAAATCTAGATTTTTTAAATCACTTATAAAGTTGCCTATAAGTAGTCTATAAAATATTATTATTCCAAGTTTTATTGTTGCATACTGTTAGACACCTTGAAATTAAATATCAGTGCGCTCATAATTTAGCAGCCAAGGCCAAAAGGCCATAATGGGTCTTCGCCAGGCTTTAAATGCGCCGATGAACTAAGCGTACCACGTTTTCCGACAGACGCTTAAATTATGCAAGTTAATTTGCAGCTGCCTGAAAATGATGACAAGAAATACCGCACCTATACACACTCACACACACACACCCAGAGTGCACAACAGGGCAGGACTTCTGGCTCCTGGCAGCCTAACAAGAGTTATTTCCCACAGACCGGAAGTGAAGTCGACATAAATTGTGGTTAGAGCTAGTCGGCCCATCTACTCCCGCCCCCAAAAGCCACGCTGGCCATTTAATACGTTGCGACAGCTATTCAGACGAGGATTTTCCTTGGAGGTAAGAAACCACCCACTTCCTGGTGGGGAAACTTGGCAGCACAAGTTGGAGTTAAATGTCAGATTGGTTCCTTCACAGTTTTGACATTCTAGTCGCACGGTTTAGCATGGTATTAAAATTCAGGTCAATTTTAAAATTTTATTTTTGTACTTATTAAACGTAAGTCAATGTTAAAAATGTAGGAACGAATTCTTTATGAAAATTAATAATATCAGAATACCCGATAAATAAAGAAATTAAGTAAAAAATAAAATTTCTGAATTGTTTATTGATTTTTTTTGTTGAAATAATTTTTTTTTGCATTTTAAAACTACCATTTTTGTTTAAATCCAAAATTCGTACCCTTTTAATACTCGAATAAATGAAGAGTAATTAAACCTGAAAACATTCCTGTTCAACTGTAATACTTTTATTTTGTGAAATTGATTGATTTTATCTTTCGCTTTTCACCCAATCGAACTGCAAAACAAGAGGCTAAAAATGCTATGAACTATGGAATTCTTCTTCTCTTGCAGTTTTCTCTCTTGATAAGTTTCTGGACTTTAGTAGACTGTCAAAAGCAACTTTTTTTCCTGGGAAATGCGCCTAAGCAGAGGAAAAAGGGGAAAAACCAACTTGTTGTCATGTTTTGTTATTTGTCTGTGGTCGTTTTCATTTCATTTACAGTTGCAGTTGAAGTGGCGGAATGAGGCCGGCATGAGAGTCCTGGCTGCTTGATTTCCCCAGGTGCCATATACGGTGGCCAAAGGATCCCACTTGCCAGAAACCATGTTCATGTGAGAGCCTGTTTTTCCTGTATATTTTCATATTTTTGTCTGACCATTGCGCCCTTCTCCGAAAACCTCATTTCCCACAGATAACACACATCCGAACCAGAGGAGTAGGAAAAGTGCAGTCGGAATGGGCCTCTGTTTATGAATTGGAATTGAATCCGATTTGGTTTCGGTTTTTGAGCTTATTTTCTCGCTACCCAGGTTTGATTATTGATATCTGATCTACAGCTGAAGACAGAAACAACTCAATTGTCATTTTAATTCCTGAATATCTTGCACAGTTTTTGGTAACGTTCTTGAGCATTTGTAAGGTAATTACTGCAATATTACCAGGGAAGTATTTGGTTATTATATAAATAAGTATATGATTTACAAGGTGTTTAATAATTATAAAATTAATTAAACTATTTTTTATGGCTTCTTTTGGTTACTTTATATGGATTAAGTGACCTATACTTGTACTTTTTATTCCTATCAAGTCTGAGTGAATGATTTCCCTTTGTCCTTGATGATGCAATTCCATCAAAAGCAACCACATACTCAAATGTCCTGGGGTTTTCCGGTATGGGTGGTAACTTATCATCGGGCGTATAAGGAGGAAGTTTAATCGTAGTTGGCATTGGTTCAGTTTCATCTTCAGAGTCAGTTTCATTATAACTTGCAGTTTCCACAAAGAGTTGTCCTCCATCGCAGCTTTTAACGCGTTCATCGTTGTGGCAAAGATTTTTATATTTCGAATTGGTGCCCTTCTCACATTCTTCAGCCGCATCATGTTCGGTATCCTCGTAGACAGGATTATGATCGTCCTCGCAGAGACTCACTCCGCAATTGTAGACGCACTTTAGCAGTTGATGGACGAGTGATGGGCGAATGTATTCCACTATGGCACAGCCCAAACGATTCGCTCGATCCCTTAGTACTTGAAAGTAGTTCTTCGAAAACTCCCTGAAGGAAATCGTAAATTTAGTTTGTAGTTATCATTATTTCTTTTAGACTGGACTTACTGTTCAGCTTCTTTGAGTGAGAAAAATAGTTTATGCGACTCTTCTTTTCTACTAGGATCAAACCAGTAATCTAGTTGCTTTTTCAGAGCTGCCTTTTTCGTGGTCATGCAGTAGTACTTTTCCAGGGAGTAGCTGACCTCGGCGTAATAATAGTTCCGTGTTCTGGCGCACTGATCGCGTGTTGGCTTACAGTGACGAACCATAGCATCGGCCACTTTGGCCAACTCCGAGTCCCATTGAAGCGTTGTCATTCTGGCTGCCTTCGAATGATTACCCAATCCGCCGGCAAACTTGTTGCGATAATCATTGTGTTTGTCCACGATTAAGTTAATCATATCCTTGCTCATTTTTACCATGGCAGTGGCTTGGTATGGACAAGGTGAGTGGAATTTCTAGAGGAAAAGTTAAGTGTATCTTTTATTTATCGGATCTTCAATCACCTACTTACCCCATTGTAACCGCAAAGGACGTGTTGTCCCTTGCAAAGGTCATCGGTGCACCAATTATTCGAAGCCTTGTTCTTACTAATAACCAACATAAGGGACAACAGCCAAATCCACCTTATCATGGCATTAAATATAGTTCTGTCTCCGCTGTTTCTTGAAATAATAGTAATACTGCGCTTATATATGCATATTTTATGGTTAATTTAACGATTAACCCGTAAGGTGTATCTAATTTTTAGGCTTTATCTACCTATTTAAGGTCTGTGTTATTCGGTTTAAAAGAGTTATTAAGGAAAATTCAAAAGAATCTCATCAAAATTATTGGAGTAATGTATCGTCATCAAGTTCAACTTAAGTTTTAAAGACGCTTAATTAAAAGGGATTTTCATTAAGTTTTTTCATCCTTCAATATTCATCCAGAAATGAACGAGTTCTCTTTTATCAATTATGTTTTTTCGAATTGAAGAGAAAAACAATTTGCATAGCTTATAATGAAAGAAATGAGCGAACAAAAAAGGCCAATTGATTCAGGAAGTAACTTAAGTGACTGTCTGATTGCAGCATTAAGTCTTTCAAAAGGGAAATTAAAAGAGCCAAGAGCTCTTCGCTGTAACTCTTCTTTATACTGCACTTAATTGTCTCGTGAACTTTTAGCACAACGTTCTGTATTTAACCGCTCGGGGAAGAGTTCTCTGTTTAGTTGCCGTGAAATAATAAATCCAATAATACACGCATTAGCCGCACCACATTTGCCGCTTAACAGGAGCTTAGCGAAAGCGAAGACAGATTCTTCAGTCTGCTCAGTTTTCCACTTTTTGTCTATTTTTCAGCCATTCTATAAGCCACTCAACTAAAAGACTAATCCACTTATTGGTAGTTGGATCGAAGTAAATTGAAAAACAGAAGCTGGATTTTAAGTCAAACAGACAAGGAATGAACATAGTAATATTCACCGCTTTAAAGCTTCACTAGGTGATAAATTTCACCCACATTTCCCAAAAAATGTGAGTGGATAAATAATTTTTTTTTGCCATTTTACCATTGAACCAACTTTTGTTTTGTCGGTGACACAGAATTTTTCTAACATTTTTTTAAGTTTATTTTTAGTTTGTAACAAAGAGATATCACGTTCAAGTCTAATTAATTAAACTAATTGACTTGTGAAAGGTAACGAACCGAGTACGCGTTGTGAAGCAAAGAACATTTTTCTCGCTATTTTCATTTTCAAAGGCAAAAAACACGTTTACATTTTGCATTCAAATGAAATGAGTTATCAGAGATGAAACATCATGACATGAAAACAAAAAAGGAACGAAGCAGTGCTCATAGATATAAAAAATAAAAGTTTATTTTGTATAGTTATATGGTAATTAAATGAAAATGTACATATACAAATATACAATCTATAGATACACCGTAAAACCTTGCTATTTATTTTATAAATCGATTAAAATTTTAGGTAAATTAACAGCACATGTATTCTTTTTTTAATTTTTAGTTTTACACATTTGCATATGCCATGGGAATTTTCAATGGCAGCAATCAAAACATAATATTTACCATACCAGCATGTTTGCAACTCTCCCGAGATTTTACCTTCCAATTAGTTGCTGAAAATGGATGCACCAAATTGTCATATCGATTGCCATATTCACATATTTGATGGCTGATGGCTGTTGGACCCCGCCTCACATATTCCCCCACCGCCTTCGCCGGAATCCGCATTAATTACAATCCCCCTCAGTTGCCTGCGGGGAAATCAGCAGCGCAAATTTTCACAGGCAAAAAGTAATGAAAGCCGTGGGGAAGAAAGGAAACCGAAATTGAATTTCGGGACCAGTTGCCGCAAAAATGCTTTTAATGCGAAACGAATGCGTTGAAGTATACGAGATGAGTGGCCAAAGGAAAATGAGTCGCCGAGCGAATATCATAATTAATGTTAATTGCCTGATTGAATGGTGGGCCCATCATATATGCCAGCGACAATCCCAATTTCCAGCGCCATTGAAACTCCACTTGGCCGCCATTAATTCGTTTCCGTTTTAATATTAAGTCGCCAGAGTGACAGCTTCCCTTTCGGTCCATTTCAGGTGTTCTTGTCCGGAGATGCATGGCCAGGAATTTCATTAAGCCATATTGCGCAAATACGAAGACTAAAGAACTGTTTGCCCAATGCCTTGACCTGGGGCTTTAATACGATTTTTACAATTCATTTTAGTATGCAACAATATATTTTTAAACCAAAATGTATATGAATTTATACAGGAAGACGACTATGCTTTATTCACAGCATACTTTTAAAAACTTATTTTAATGTTTAGGTATTTCAAAAAAAAATTGTTAAGAAAAATAAAAAAGAACAAAACTATGGTCTATAATACAAATTGGTGTTTTAAAATTCCGAAAGCCATTACAAGCGCATGCATTCGAAATGATCAAGGCAAGTTTACATAAAGGTAGTTTTAAAAAAACAAAAAAAAAGCTTCAAATATTTTCTTTTTAAAGGTGTTTGTGTTTTTTGTTCAGGGCTCCGAAGGTCGCTGCTCCACAACTGTGTTTTAAACCGAAAACATGAAGAAAAGATGCTATGTTTGACACGTAGAGCATCATTATGCCAGAACAAAGGTTCTGAAAACTAAATTGCGCTTCACGGAGGCCATTAAATGCGGTGCAATGATGTGGGATATATACTTGCAGGCATACTTATATGCGGCAACGATCGCTGGAATGTGTGTGCGATGCAAAATGTTTGTCGTGTCAGTGCACCTGCACACTATGTGCTAATTACTTATTTATAACGCTCACATTACACGACACAACCTGGTGGCAGAGGCTCGTTGCAAACTCACTGCATACTTTGCGGCGCCCCGGCGGCGAAATGTTCTTCACTTCAAGAGCAGGCAGGATTTCCAGACGAGATTTGAGATGTTGGGTTGGTTTTTGGGAAGGGTTTGGGGGTTTTTCAGCCAGTTTAAACGGGCTGGCTTTTTTGCCAGCTCTGCAGACAGCAATCAATCTGGTCGAGCTGCACTTGTATCCACCTCAGTGGCTTAGAATCAGACCCAATCAGTTCCCAATTGGCCGTGTAATGTGGCTCTTTTTATTTTTGATAGTTTACCTCAAGTTTTTACCCCTTTTTAGTGAGCAGTGGCTACGTGAGCATTTTACCCAAGTGCCTTTAAGTGCTTAAACAAATTTTATGAAAGAGTTTGCCCCTTGGAATATTTACACAATTTTCTGCCTTTTAAGCATTTGAACGAAAAGCTCTTGTGATGAGATTTAATTCCAGAGAAGTTAGAGCAGTGACAGCCAGGTGAAAAACAGTTTATCCACAATGAGGCCGAGAATTCTTTGACGCTTTTTGGATAAACCAACTGTCTGTCTAGTTAAGCTCAACGTGCCACTGGCAAAACATTCAGGTGTGAAAATGCAACCCCCTTCCAACTTTGCCTTGTTTTTTCCTGTTTCTGTCACTTTCAGTGTCTGGCATATCAGATACTGCAGGCAAGTTTCGAGTTCGCTCCTCCAGTGCCAATGAAATTAAAAAACAATACACTTTACTTATGCAACTGACAGCCGCCATTTATGCATTGCAATGCATTGTTGGAAAAATGGTTGTATTGCTTTTTGTTTTTTGTTTTTCCATTTTAATTGACTAATGGCTCTTCAATGGAGTATGCTATTCAGTTAATATGAGGTATTTATTTTAATTATATATTTATAATATTTAACTTAAATCCAACTGCTAAATTTTCCGTTAATTCTTAAAGATTTCCCACCAATCTAGTTGAACCTTAAAGCCAATTAAAGCTTTCTTTTGCTAGAAATGACGACATATTTCGAGCGACCACAGTGCAAATCACTCTCCTTTACCTTTACATACCGATTCACCTTGGCTTGTCAGGTGAAATATTTTCCAGGTGTTGAATCTTCGTCTCCTTGGATTTGGCTAGAGAAACCAGAACCCAGGAGAATTTCACTTTCGCAGCAGACACCGTGTCGACTCCGGTGGTAATTCCAGTCAGTCCCAAATGCAATGCATTCCCCGGATTTGTTTTTTTGACGGACCGTGGGTGCCAAGGAAAAAGGGGGAAACTGCATTGCACAACAGGCCCACAAAAACACTGGAGCAAAAGCCAAGGAGATTTATTGCCATCGCTGCCAAAGTGAAACATAAAACGACGTCATTAAGTTATGTCGGCGCTTAGGTCCAAGGCAAAAATTGAGTTCGACGATGTGAGAAAAATGGTTGGGAAATCCTTTTGTTGCTTTTGCTGCATTTTCACCTCAGTCCATCCCTTTGCTTACTTTTTATAGGTGCCAAGGGAATTCAACGAAGTGCAACGCAATTTGATGCGTTGATATTACAAATGTGGGTGAAATTTAAAACATAAATTATGCCGATAAAATGGCTTAAGGTTGAGAAGATTAGAATTGAATGGATTGAGCATTTTCTTTGAATTTGAGAAAATAAAGTTTGACATTTAATTTTGTATTTAGATATTTATTGTTATCTCAGAAGGATTTCTTTTCTTTTCCCCGTATTGATCCTAGATACAGTACATCTCACTAGAAAAAACGCAAAAGTGTTTATTTATTTATTTTTATACACCTTTTTTCCATTATAGATTCGCTTGTGACGAATATTTGGCATAGTAAAAAATATTTTGCATATTAAATAAAAACAAAAACTTTTTAGTTAAAAATGGGGTCAGAGGTCGAATTCAAATTTGCAAACAACACACATAAAGTCAAAAATGCAATCGATAGTTGCTCCGGGGATGCTCTTCCTATGAATAGAGGAGTGGCGGATGGGTTTTCGGTGAATGGCAATGCCACTTTGCTCTATTTCATAGCCATTAAAAATGCAATTGTTAAAAAAGAGAGCTGGCAGTCAGGTTCACTGCTCCGTTGTTCTTATCCCCGAATTCCAGCTTCAGTTTTGGCCTCATTGTGTCAATGTGGCAAAATTTGGGAGTGCGGCACTCTTGCAAGTTCTCCACATTTCCCATTCCGCCGTGGGCTTGCTGCGGTCATTTCAAAAGTCAAATGTCGAGTGCAGTTCCATTGGGGTAAAGTTTTATGCCAATCAGCAAAGGCCAGCAAAAAAAAAAAATAAAAATAA